GTAGTAGTAGTAGTAGTAGTAGTAGTAGTAATAGTAGTCGTAGTAGTTGTAATAGTAGTACTAGTAGTAATAGTTGTAGTAGTAGTAGTAGCAGCAGTAGCAGTAGTAGTCATAGTAGTCATAGTAGTAACAGTCGTACCAGTAGCAGTAGTAACAGTCGTAGTAGTCGTAATAGTAGTAGTAGTAGTTGTAGTTATAGTTGTAGTAGTAGTTGTAGTAGTAGTAGTCGTAGTAATCGAAGTAGTAGCAGTCGTAGCAGTAGCAGTCGTAGCAGTAGCAGTAGTAGTTGTAGTAGTAGTAGTAGTAGTAGTAGTCGTAGTAGTAGTAGCAGTAGTAGCAGTAGTAGTTGTAGTAGTAGTAGTAGTAGTAGTAGTAGTAGTAGCAGTCGTACCAGTAGTAGTAGTGGTAGTCGTAATAGTCGTAATAGTAGTAGTAGCCGTAGTAGCAGTAAGAAGTAGTAGTTGTAGTAGTCATAGTAGTAGCAGTCGTACCAGTAGCAGCAGTAGTAGTAGTAGCAGTAGTAGTAGTAATTGTAGTTGTAGTAGTAGTAGTTGTAGTTTTAGTAGTAGTAGTAATACTAGTAGCAATACTGACATAAAAACACAACTTCATCAAATGTGACCTTTCCTGAAGAGTTTCATCTTGAGTTCTATCTGAACTAGTGAAAGACCACAATAAATATACTATTATTTATTTTTATTGTGTTGATAATTATCATCTAAAAAGAGTTTTTAAATTGATCATTTGGGTATCAAAACTGGTAATGAGTTTCGAGTCTATCCTTTAGTATCGAAATGGAGTTTGAAATTTTCGCATCATGACAACACTAGACACTTCACTGTAAAATAGATATCCATTGTCTCCACAAGCTTTTCCATATGCAGCAGTTCTCCTCACAATAGAAACAATTGATTAAATCTGGGTTAGACGAGAGACAGTCCCAGCACTGCACTATACCTCAGCGGGGACAGCCTCGCCCTCACACACCCTCGTCAAACTCAACTTCTCAGACCTGAAGGAAAACAAAAGCTTTCTCACACAGCTGCTCTATCTGGAAAAGATAAAACTTATCAAGAAGACATAACAACTTCTGTCTAAGCCTGCAATACTGTGCAAATGCTATAGCCATGAGCAGAGAAAGAATTAAGAAGAATCAACAAAAATATAATATGTATATTTAACAGTTATACAATAAAGGTGCACTGTGTAACTTTTCTGGAGGAGGGTCCGCCATCTCCTTGTCTCCATGGAGATGTTGTTGCTTTGTCTGGAATGTCCTGGTATGGCATTAAACGTGTCCATCTTGCATTTACTCAATAACATGGGACTGTGAATGGGCTCGGCTCTCCACAGATCTGACATGTAACTTAGCCCTACAGCATAACCTGCTGTCTTGGTAGAGATAAATGTGCGTAATGCCATACTGTGGAACATTCCAGGCAACATTTCCATGGAGAGAAGCTGGTGAAAGGTGACGGACCCTCCACCAGAAAAGTTACACAATGGACTGTTAAAATTAGAAGCCCAGAATAAAAAAAAAAATGAATAAATAAAAAGATCCAGATACCGTGTGTGATTAATATGCAAAGGGGAAGTAAGTGCTTGGAAGTGAACTCAAACTGAACTTTAAGATCACTGATTTAAGTGAAAGTACTGTCATCTTTTGTTCTTTGAGTAAGTGTGTTCTTTATCTCATATCAGTCCTGTGCAACAGTGGTAAAACTTTTCACTCCAAGTACCACCTCACCTCATAGTTTTGTTTTTTTTTCTAAATACCACCATCATTGTTAGATCTTAATTAAATAAATGTTTCCTTTGTTCTAAAAAGACAATCAATGCAATCACCTGGCTTTTGCTCCCCCATCAGTTTGAGAACCACTGCCTTTAATATATATTTTTACTCTTTGTATTATATCGTGATGTGTGAGCTACTGTGTCCAAATAATTTCCCCTTGTAGATCAATTAAGTTTGTCTAAGTTTAAGTCTAATTGTTTTTTTTCCAGACATTCTGACCAAAGCAATGACTTACACCTTTAACATCAAATAAGTACATATATATACCTACTGTGAGGAGCCTGGCTGTGTGTTTTCTCCTGTGGTTAACCCAAACATCAGCCTCACACTCAATAAAGCATGGATCCTGTGTACTCTGAGCGGCTGCACTGACAGACAAGGAGGGCTCAAAACTTCCTCCAAGGATGCTTTGTAAAAACAACAGAACAGCAACTACATTGACTCCAAGTATTTACCTCAAAAATACTGCTTCACTAGCTTTTTATCACCTTTACTATTGAAGAAAGAGAAGCATTGGATGGGAAGTATATTTAAAAGGTCCTATGTTACACAAAATGTATGCTTTATGCTTGTTGTTACCCCACCAAAAACCCAGAGTTGCATTTTGTTTCATTCACACATATTTCATTAATCCTTTATTATTAGTCTGTCTACATTTCCAAAGCTCAAAATGCTCTGTTCCAACTTGTGATCTCATATAGTTGTAGTTTTCAAGATAAGAGCTACCTTTTACCTTGTGTTTAGTAGAGATTGGCAATCCCTGGCTGAAATGATCCTGATTCTGGGGACTGGACATGGAGCACTGACTGTATTACCACATGACATCAAAAGATGGAACAGATTGTTTTCTGACTGAGACAAGAACTCAGCCTAAATATGCAAAGTTTGTGTGTTAAACATGTCAAAATGAAACAAAAAAACAACTCCAGGTACGTTTGAGTTGAGGAAAGAATATTATAACATAGATCAGAAAACAGCGTAATATGGGTTCTTTAAAGTTTTGACATAAAGTAGTGCATGTTCCCTGGACCAGTCCCTGACACCTTCCCATCTTCAAGTTAAAAAGCATATCACATCCTCTATTGTGATCAGTGTTCATTTGCCTCATAGTCCTTATACAGCACAGTCACAAGCAATAACATGAGAGCTGTGGTGTTATATGAAGAAAGATCAAACAAACTATAAAATTCTGTTTATTTTGAAACGGGTCACGCCTACTGTACTGCGTCCCTACCCCAAGCAGAGCAAAAATGTTTTCAATTACAATGTGGGAAAATGTTGCTCAGCAGGGGAGTAAGCCACACTCCTTGAAAAGCATCTAATTTAACAACGACACAGGGTCCTTCAGGGTGTCATTATCAAAACGTTTACACATTTTTAATCACTATACGTACCACTATGTCATACTTATCAGCACCGATATTAATTTAATCAGCTACATAAATAAATACATCTATGAGCCCCTTCTAGTAGTACCTAGTTGTAAGAGTCGTAGAAGAGTCAGACTAATAGTAGATGTAGCAGTAGAAGTGTTATATTGTCTAGGCTGGGGTTGTGCTGCTTGTGCAAGAAGTTTTGGAATGCACCGTGGTAGCATGTTATTCAGTGATGCACAATCAAACTTTACATAAGCTTATGAAGATAAATAAAAATAAAATATAAAGAAGTGTGTCCTTGAAAAACTTACATTTTGAGCCATTTCCGTCCATCCCGCTGCAGCCCAAGAGTTTTAAACGCGACACCGGTCCTCCATGTGGGAGAGTGCAGCGGGAGCACGTCCAACTTCCAACTTCCAACAGCGCCGCGCTGCCATGGACTCTCCATGCGCGCTGCGGGCAGAGCGAGGCGCCTCTCCGCCGGGTCCTAAAGCCTGCGCCTCTGTCTGTGCTGAAGGGGAGCTGGTTTAAATCAACTCTCTGGGGTAAAGGGTGGCACAGTCGATGGGTGGCACTGACAGTTTGTCGGTTTTAACCAGTAAAATGCTCGTAATTTTGCCTAATGTTAGGCTGTTAACAACAACACGAAATGTTTACAACCCCAATTCCAATGAAGTTGGGACTCTCTGTAAAACAAAACAAAACAAAACAAAAAACAAACAAACAAACAAACAAAAAAAAAAACAAAAAAAATACAGAATACCATGATTTGCAAATCCTTTTCAACCTATACTGAACTGAATAAACTACAAAAACATGATATTTAATGTTCACACTGATAAACTTTATTGTTTTTATGTAAATATTCACTCATTTTCAATTTGATGCCTGCAACATGTTCCAATAAAGCTGGGACAGGGGCAACAAAAGAATGGGAAAGTTGGGAAATGCTTAAAATCCACTTGTTTGGAACATTCCACAGGTGAACAGGTTCATTGGAAACAGGTGAGTGTCATGATTGGGTGTAAAAAGAGTTTCCCTGAAGGGCTCAGTCATTCACTAGCAAGGATGGGGCGAGGTTCACCACTTTGTGAACAACTGTGTGAGCAAATAGTCCAACAGTTTAAGAACATTTCTCAACATACAATTGCAAGGAATTGAGGGATTTCATCATCTACCATCCATAATATCATCAAAAGATTCCGAGAATCTGGAGAAATCTCTGCACGTAGGAACGTTGCAGACATCAAATTGAAAATGAGAGAATATTTGTATAAAAACAATAAAGTTTATCAGTTTGAACATGAATATCATATCTTTGTAGTTTATTCAGTTCAATATAGGTTGAAAAGGATTTGCACATCATTGTATTCAGTTTTGTTGTTTGTTTGTTTTTTTGAGTTTTGCACAGCGTCCCAACTTCACTGGAATTGGGGTTGTATATGCCCATGAAATAACATAGACTGAAATGTTTAGAACTATTTAATAACTTAATTTGGATGAGGATTTGGCAAATTGGGAGGCAGACACATTTTCAGTTCCAAGTTATAACCAGTTATTAGATGCCACAAGTGATGATAAACAGCCTTTTTCATATCCTACTGCCAAAATATGAATGTTGTGGTGGGGCTGACACACAAGAGAATAATAGGTTGATGGTTTACTTTTAAGCAGGAAATAGCTTTACCTATTTCCTGCTTGTGTGTGTGCCCTGTGATGCAGAAATATGCTGTCAATCATCAGAGAAAGAACACAGTTACACAGTTCGTTAGAGTTTTCTTTATTTTAGTGACAAAACCATGAATAACGTATTCAAACAAAGTCGGCCCTGGATCATTTGTTGTACATCTCCATACTAGGACTTGATAGCAAGTGAAAATAACCTCTTTAGCTACAAAATATTATTTCAAAACAAATATTTTAACAGTGAGAAAGTGGTGACTTCAGTTTCAACTCCTCTAAAACATGAATCTGATATTGCATTAAGTGCCTGAACTGACTGGTATGTTCGACTTATGGATCATTGCACATACTCCACAGTGTACTGCAGTCTAACTAATGTAACCATCACCTTTGACATTGCATTGGAAGTGATTCACTCTCATCCATCAGTGCCTCCTCACTTTGGTTTTCATTCTCATACAAATCAATGCAAACCACACACACCTTTAACACACCCAATAAGTACAGCAACTGTGTAAAATGCAAATACCTCTTGCATTCCAGCTCTTTCTATTTCACTGACTTTCGCTGTTCATTTGGTCCAAAAGGTATTATTTTATTATCATAAAAGTAATACTAGTGAAAAATGATAACATAATGTAATGCTTAAAACAACCAAGTATGTTTTGTACCTTATAATAGTTTAATTACTTAGTATTATCAGTCAGTTATTGTGTGAAAGGGTAAACATCTTAAATTGTATAATATTTTATGTTTTATTAACAAAAATAATAACAATAATCAAAAATAAATGCTTATTTACACTTTACACAGTGCTTGTACTGATTCTCCATCATTTTGGTAGTTGTGTTCTGTTACCACTTTAAACCAAAAGCATTTTATTTTAAACAAAGAAACCTGAAATCTGAATAGAGCTAAGCCTGGCCACGCTCACACTCACATTAGACCATTCACTCCATTAAAGTGTCCTCAATCATCTGCATCTACATTCTACTCACTCAGAGTGCTGGTGCTGCACACTTGGAAATAATACAATAACTACACCTCAAATAGCCTTGATAAAACATAAACAGACTTAATTCACAGTTTCTTAAGAATGACTTAGTAACTGCTTAATTAAAGGTGCGGTACGTAACTTCCTGGAGGTGAGACATCATCTGCATGGTACGTACAATCTCCATGAAGATAGACTTTATGTCATACTGTTGGAATATTATAGCCAAAACAAGCAGAAGCCCTCATGAGTCAGGTTTGTGGAGATGCGAAGCCTGATCAGAGTAAGGATGGATGTTTTTGTATGCTTTTCCATGCAATAAACACAAACAAATAAAAACGCTTTATTTTGATGTATTTTTTGGGGGTGAAAAGTTACATACTGTGGCTTTAAGGGGCTGTGGTTGGGTATTAATTAAGTAGTTACTAAGCCTGAATCATTCTCACTAAACTATTTTAAGGGCTAATCAGGTGTAGTTATTATAAATTGTTACTGAAATAAGAAACGCAATAAGGCAAAGCCAGAAATCTCATCTACTAAATATCCGCTTCACCTCTCATCACAGGATCCCCCTTGGTACTTTATATAATGGGGCGTAAACCTGCCCTCCTCCAGGTTACATACACCACTGCAGTGCCCCAGCCTTATATTGCTTACTCTTCACAGTTCATCTATCTTTGTCTCTGTGTGGTCATCCTCCTCTTTTCCCAGAAGTCCACGCTGGAGTGAGCACAGTTTTGGTTTGGGAGGAGGTCTTGAACAGTCTCTCAGCCTTGGCAGTGAAAATCAGGGGAAGTCATAATAGTTTGTATATCCTTCATATAGTTAAGTATCAAGTCTCTGTTAGTAATTATAATGTGTCAGGCTGTTATTAAAAGAGTCTAGCCTGCTTCTTCAGTTCATTGCGTTTCCATAAAGCCAGGCGGTCAAACTCTTCTATGGTCATACCGAACACTTGGACAAATTCTTCTGGAGACAAATGACGCTAAAACGTACAAACATAAAAGAAAGTTATATTTTGAAAAACTATACAGCGTGACTGAAAGAAAGAAGGACCTGCTCTTTCTAGTCACAACTCTATGAGGTAACAACATTATAATACGGCTTAAAGCTCACAAGAATCCATCTGGCATAATAGAGGACCTTTAACTTACCTCTAGTCTGGCTCTGTCCACGTCCTTTGGCAGCCTGTTGCGCCCTCTTGTGGTGACAATGAGCATTTCATATGGATAAACCTGGAATAAGCAGGGATAGAGCCATGACTTTTGACACTTAATAATTAGAACAGTGGGATTATCCGTTATGCAGAGAACAAGTCATTTTAGTTGAAACATACCGTGTATTCAGCTGTGATGATAAAAAAAAAGTTGATAGCGTTAGAACAAAGTATTGAATTTAATTGGTTTAAACTAATGAGCAATACGCTATTTAAAACTCCCACACAATTACCTTTGTTTCCCCAGGTGACTTCACTAGAGCTGTCGTACTGATACTGGTAGCAATCAGCGCTCTGAGGCTACAAAGGGAAAAAAAAGAGTAGAGCAAGAAATTAACATACTTTAATTTGTTATAGATTCCCTGGCCTATATAATACACACAGGTACCCAGCCCATGAAATGTATTAGCCTAATGTAATGTAAAAGTCCCACTCACCCTCTGGAGACCATTTCGTCCATATCCTGGAAGTGAGGATGTTTTGCACCCAAAATCTAGACATAAAAACACATCAAATTTAAGTAACTTTTAATATAGCAATTTTCAGTGTTTGGAAAAATACTTTGAAAGTGTATTTAGTTACAGAATACCCGAATTAAAATGGATTTTGTAACATATTCCGATCAGAGTACTGTATTCAGAATAATCTAAGTACTTGAATACAATGTTGCATTGTATTATAGTGAGAAAACCTTAAACACAGCTTTATTTTTGGTGCCCTGTTTGTTCTGCAGTAATGTGTTTTCTTTATTTTCACTAGTATTGTGCTGCTCAAAGTCAAATTTGCATTGTCAAGCATTGTCAATGTCAGTTATTTCTTTTAATTTAGGGAAGTAACTGTAATCTGAATACCACCAAATGAAAAAAATACCTGTTACTCAAAATAATTTTTCAGAATGCGTATTTTCCGATACATGGATTCATTTACTTTAGAATACTGACTATTCTAGTGTCATTCTTCATTTTACACATAAGGCTTTATCATTGTTTTTGTAGCAGGACAGGATTGCACAATGTCAAATATTTTATAGGAGTACCACATCAGTTACATTACAGTAATAAAAATAACATTACGAGCATGGTTTTACTGGTTAAACAATCACCAGAAACATATTAGCAGATCCACCATTGTCAGGTCTGTCTAGTCTTATCTAAAACCAGCATACATTGCCCTCAAAACACCAAAAGAGGGCGCTCTTTTCCAACTAAATATTGGTGTAGAGCTGTTGCAAGCAGTTCAAACACATGTTCATGCACAAACAATGATCTCTTCAAATTAAATGAATGAATTAATGAATAGAAAGCTTACCACTTTCACCGCTGTACTGTGACCGAGGAGCTGTGCGGAAAAAATCATACAAAAGTTACTCAGTGTTTAAAATGTTGCACAGTTTGAACACAAAGGACTTAAAACAAAATTACAATAACTCCAACAGAAAAATGTACAAATGACTTCAAAATAAACTGACATTAAACCGGCTTACACAATGTCAAATTCTCTAAAAAATCTCTCTTGTATAGGAAATCAGGCTCCGCACAGCCCCTCCCATCCCCGAAACCACATTAATGAGAGATCTTACTGCTCATAAATAAACCAGGAAGTGGGACACCAGCTGGGAACAAGAAAGTGAGGGAGAAAGATGCTCTGATAAATGAGAAGTTAACACTGAGATGGAGACTGGAGGTGGAGGGAATGGTTGAAAAGGAGATTGCGAATGTATTTAATGTGTTTGTTTTTTGTGACAAGTCTCGGACCAGTTTCTTCCATAGAGTAAAATAACATGGAAGTAAATTAGGTAATAGGAAAATACTAGCAGTATATAGTAGCACAGTTTTAGATGTAATAAGGTTACTCTTATTACATCTAAGTAGACCATGTGATGTTACTGCATTTGACTCTCTTTTAGCAGAGTTTACATGTCCTTATGTTTGACAATGTTCCATATACAATCCAGCGATATGTGACTACGCAATATTGACTTGTGAACTTAAAGCCATGTTATAATGCTGTTACTTCTTCAAAAACATGCCTGGAGTTGTGCTTTGTTTGTTTTTGTTGAGTAATTTTGGCTTATTAGTCTGTCTACATCTCCAAATCTCAAAAGCTGTTCCACCTTGTGATGTCATGTAGCGGTAGTGTTCATGTTAACAGCTCCTTTTACCTTAAGTTTAGTAAAGATGGGCCATTCTGGGGTTGAATCGCCCAAATGATGCTACAGCAAGGGTGTATGGAGTTTAAAAACACAGTGGAGCACTTCTTATATTACATAACATAACATCACAAGGTGTAACAGCGAGTTTTGTGTGTGAGAAAAAAAAAAAAACTCAGCCTAAACATGCAAAACACAACTCCAGGTATGTTTCTGATGAAGAAACAACACTATAACATAGATAAAACATTAAAACATACATAAAAAATACTAGCTGAGCAGGTCTTGAGTAACAGTCCCAATATACAACAGCGTGAGCATTGGAGACTGACGCTTACAAACAAAAACAGAGCATTCAGTGTAATATAACTCTTCATGCTCTACGACCAGCTGCTCCACTTAGTCACACCTGGTTAGACGGGCAGTTTAGGGTTTTCAGGGGCCTAAAACTGAAATCTAAATCAGAGCCATCAGATCTCCACGCACCGGTGACAGGGCACATCTGCCTCTACAGCTGTTCCGCTCACTCAACATGTTTCTGTCACAATAAACACATTTACCCTCAAGGGACCGTGACCCTGTCTAACTTTGAAATCCACATTTAAAGTAAGGTCAAAGCCTCTAGTCCTGTCTTTCAAAATAAATTGAATTATGATTTCAGGGTGTGAAGATTTTGGATACACAATCAAATTTTTCAATGATGATCTGAAATAGAATTCACGTTAGGGCCGTTTTATAATATATGAACGTTTCCATGTAACATAAAATAAATAAATAAATAACATAATAATAAAATAAATAATAAATAGAGCTATCTTTATTGTATGTTAAAGGTGGACCATGGCAATGAGGTGAAAAATTGTAGTAGGGGGTTTGGCTCATTTCTGTCTTCTTGAAGATTCTTTTTTGCTTTGTCAGAAATGCTCAACTTTATGGCATTAAACTTATCTATCTTACATTGTATTCAGTTACAGATGTTTTGTTGCTAAAAATAAAATGATGGCTTGTGTCTTTATAGATCACCTGCTTGTCTTTATAGAAATAGATATGTTTAATGCCGCACGGTGGAATACTTTAGAAAAAGAAATAACAAACAGGTGGCAGATGCTCCAAAGTTGCACAGTGCATCCGAATGGCAATTTAGAGACAAAAATCTACCGTATTCCTCGATCTACGTGTGTAACAGTAAGCTATTTTCAGCCTTTTATTACAGTTAAAAAGCAAATCCAGAGTTTGTTTAAATATTTATGAAGCCGACATAAACACACGAGTGGTTAGTAGCTTCATCCAGATGACTAAAGGTGTGTGCAGTTAACTTGGTGAACCCAAATTGCTCATGCATCAATAGAGCGTGAATGTTTTTTGTGTTTCTCAAACAATAATTGTAACAGGACTGAAGGTGTATCTGCCTCAGGCCATGAATGAAACATGAAGAGATTAAACATGTGCACTGAGTAGAAGAAGAGGAAAAGTCCTTTTAAACTACATTTTAGGCAAGCTTAAAGACATGTCAACAACAAAATGAAAATCTCAAAACTAAAAATATTTGCATACGTGGTAAAAAATTAAGAAGAATACGTTAAATATGCACTTTTATGAACTTTTCTGGTGGAACAGTTATGGAAAAAACTGACCTCATACCAAAATTACACAATGCACCTTTAACCATTTCTAAAAACTGTACTAATTAGTTTCTTTCTTGCAACTCACTAATCTGTTGCCATTTTTTGCTATTTTTGCTAGAATTTATTATTATCATTTCCTCTTTCTTGTTGTTATATTATAATGTGTGAGCTACTGTGTCCAAATAATTTCTCTTGTGGATCAATAAAGTTTGTCTAAGTCCAAGTCTAAACGTTCAAAATACATAAGCATAACTGTACTTGTTTGTGCTTTTCTTGTTAAGATAAAAAAAAATAAAAATACATGAAAGAGTAAACAAAATCTAAACTATAATCCACCCAATTTCTCAAGTTCAAATCATTGTTCAAATAATACCCAGCTTCAAATTGTAATTATCCTGATACAAAAATGTATTTTTTGAACCCACGACCTGTTTGCCGTACCCTAAAAGCAGCACTTCGCTCCAGAAAAATGAACAGTGTTGTCTTATTTACGCTACAGACTTGCTCCCCTGTTACTCAGCCCTAACTCCAGGCGGTGCATTTCTCAGGGGGCTGTAGCAAAGGGGGCGGGGCAGATGCTTACAGCCATTGACAGTGTTGTTGTACACCGTGGACCCGTAGCCTGTCGTGTTGAGAGTTTCTTTGCTCCCACTCCGAGAATTCCTCCTACTGCCCCAGGGGTCGTTGTCATAGGAACCAGATCTAGCCTTCATCTCCTCCTTTAGGATCATCCTCCCGATACCACTCCCGATCTGAAGACGGCATAGAAAAAGCGCAGTTATAGGGACATATGAGTTAATTGGAGTGAGTGGGATTAAAATATGGATTAAAGTAAATAGAAATAAAAGATAGAAGATGAGGCACCATACCATTGGAGGTGCATTATTTATGGATGTTTCTGAGGAGCTGGAAGACGAGGTTGTGGAAAGCGAGACAGAGAATAATGAAGCTCTTACTCTTTGAAGACCGTGGCTCCAGCCCTCTTCATCTCCTCCTGTTGAGTAGCGCCTTCTCGGGGCTCGGTACGCTGTGCAAGAAGCAGTCAGATCAGTTTAACACAAGCACAGCTATTTTGGGAGATATATTATGAGGAGTAGATGCATAGATATTTGTAAAGAAAAGTCAGACTTAAAAGCTAGAAGGAAAAGAGGAGGGGTAATGATGCCCCAAAAGTCACAGATCCACTTATATTAGGTTTACTTCAGGTGGAACATAAAAAGCGCACTGCGTAACTTTCCTGCTGGAGGAAATTTTTGGTGTCTTATTTCCATGGATATTATTGCTTTGCCTGCAGTATTCCACAATATGGCATTAAACTTATCTTTTACTGCTGAAAAGTACATTTAAAAACATGCATTCTTATTCTGAGGCTCTTCTCTCCATAGATCTGACCTGTAACCTAACCTGGTGGCATCACATGATTGTCTTTGTGGAGAAAGGTAAGTTCAGTGCCATACTGTGGAACATCCAAGCCAAAGCAATAGAATCTCCGTGGGGAAAAGCAGTGAAGATGGCACACCCTTCTCCAGAAAAGTCACACAGTGCACCTGAAGAAACAGTGAGAATGGTTGACTTCACATCCATAAAAAGGTCTTCAAGTTATTGATTTGTTGTTACTATGAATAATTTAACCCCAAAGAACAAAGGACAAATCCTCTGCAAATACACAAGTAATCCTGCTTTTCAAGGCCGGCTTAACAAACACAAACATTGACAAAAACACCTCTGTCAATGTCAAACCTTGGCCTTAAATAAATGCCAAAAGAAAGAACTTTAATCTTTGGCCAAAAAGATTCAGAGAAGTGATTGTGAGTCTAGTGCTCACAAAAATCACAAATATAAAATGCACAGATTTGATATTGAGCTTTAGAAGCTCAAGAATATCTTAACATCTTTACAGCCCAAGTTAACAAACTTGTTGAATTACTTGGTGACCCCATGGCATAATTATTTATTTGCCAGGAATATTCCACAGTGTGGCTTTAAACCATTATATCTGCAAGGAGTAAAGCTGGTGACACAAAGCCAAGCTTTAGCTGTTAACATGAAAACTACCACCACATGACATCACATGCATGAAAGAATCAAAACACAACTCCAGGTATGTCTTTGAGGAGGTAACAACATTGTAAAATTGCTTAAAGCTCACAAGAGTCCATTTTGCGTAATATATGACCTTTAATATATAAATGAGGTGTGAAACTAATCAGCTCTGTGAAAGTGTACCTTTAGGAGAGCTGGTGTAGGGGTAATAGTCGGACTCTGATTGGCTGTATGACTCAGGGGAGTAGGTGGAAAGTCTAGACGACCTCAGAATGTCCTCACTGGTCCTGCTCTTGGTCGCTGCATCCACGTAATTATCTGAAAAGGAGACAAGAAGTGTAAGAAAATACATAGTCAACCTCTGCATTGTTAGCTGTGAAAGGGGAAGTGTTACTGAAGAGGAAAACATAATCCCAGCTTTAAGAGATACAGCACAATTTTAACCTTGGATGTGACTTGCTGTTTCTAATCCCACTGTTAACACAAAGGTATTTTTTTGTCAATAAAAACAATCCAAAACCATATTTATTATTACTTGTTCACTGTTAGAAATGGTGATGAGTAAATTTTCTGAATCACTCAATCCAGTCAATGTTGCTTGCAGTTTAAGTTACCACTTCCAAGGTCCTATATTATGCAAAATTTACTTTTGTGATTTTTAAGTCATGTTAAAATATTATTACAACATCAAAAACATACCCAGAGTTATGTTTTGTTTCATTCACACATGTATGAGTAACCCCCCTGCCACCTTGTGATGTCATGTAATTGTAGTTTTGAGGTTAACAGTTACCTTTTGCCTTTAGATTAGTAGAGATTGTCAGTTCCAGAGCTGAAATTATTTGGAAGATTCAAGTGAAGATGTGTGGAACTTAAAAACACAGTGGAGCACTTCCTATATTGCCACATGACCTCACAAGGTGAAACAGAGAGATTTCTGCTTGAGAGAAGAACTCTCAAGAACGCCTGTGTGCTAAAACATGTATGTTAATCAAGTATGTTTTTAATGAGTAAACAGTATTATAATAAATAAAAAAATTGGCCCTTCAATAGTCATTTTTAACATTGATCTGTTTTCAGTGTTTCAGAGGCCTTCTTTGATTGTACCTAATAAAGTGGCCAGTAAATGTATGTACTCACTGTCAGCATTACATCATCCCTATAAAATGAGATCACTATTGTACAGTCTATGATCTCAAACAGCATTATTTTGCATACTGTTATGCTTGTCTTAAGGCAAATTGAGTGGTGTGAATGGATATTATTGATGTTGAAAACCACTAATTGACACTTAATGGGAGTTGACATGCAGCAATGTTGAAAAGATTAGCCATGCTAGCACAGATGCATGGTCCAATGAGTTCAGTCCATGATAAAGACATTACTGACATAAAAAAAAAAAAGAACAGAATATTCCTTGACACATTTGAAACTAAAGAGAAATTCTGTGAAAACATATTGAATCATATTGACTATTCGGAAGGAGGGAGGATACTCACTACGAGCCAAGGTCACCAGGGGAATTGGAGCAGGAGGTGGAGGGACAAGTGAATAAAAGTGATTTGGGTGCAATAAAAGATTTGAAAGAAAAGGAAAACATTATTGGAGCATCATCATCGGGAGTAAAGACAAAGTGACAAATTTGGAATCAAAACAGAGGAGAGACTAGACATGTCTTCAAGGGGGTAATACAGGAAAAGGTAGTGTACATAACTGGCCTTGGACGTGAAGAAAGCTTGCATAACAATATCACAGTTTGTATTCAGTTTTTATGCAGTTACACTTTGGACACTGGTGTCAACTTGAAATGTGAAAATACTTATGCACTAATATATGACCAAATTGTGGTGAGAGGTATCCACCCACAGTTGCTTTTCTGTTATAATGAACCTTAGTGTTTAGCTTTGAGACTAGTCCCTATGCAAAATCTATCACTGCATTAAATTCTGTCTTCTCCTATTTTTGTGGATACTGGTCACTGTAACAAAGCTTAACATCCCCATGCATATACTTTGTGGAAACTACTGTAGTAGCAGTTATATCTCACACACAAAAAGCAGTTTTCTTGTGAAAGGATTGGGGAGGACACAGTGTGGAGTTTGCAGTTTGGTGGATGTTACTGAATTGATTCTGACAGTTCAGTTTGTTCTATTTTGTTGAAAGTGGTAGAGACTAAGACACTTTTCTCATCTCTTTTTGCTAACTTCAACATTATACTAGTGTGCATGCTTTTAATCTGTGTGCATGTACTTCATCTAAGAATAACTGGCCCTGTAAAGCCAGTTTTGAACCATGAGTAAAAAACACGGTTCAGTTTGAATTGTTAGCTCTGCCCATTACTCCCTTATGTTGCACAATAATGGAGAAGCACCTGTCTGGAGTAGTTGATACTTGGTTCTCACCCAACAATGTGTCTATTTTGAAAAAGCCCAGTTATTACCTTATGGTTCTCATCTAACCAATGACCTTTCGAAATACATGGACAATGTGAACAATGTTCCATAGCCTCCTTTTACAAGCTGAACTAGACGAAATAGGAGTCAGGTACATGGCCTTTAATATAGTGCTGAAAATGAATGGGATGTTCTGATTAACTTTGCACATCCATCATGGTTAATGTTGAAACAAGAAGAAGTGACAATCAATATCTGTTTAGGAAGATATAAAACCCCACAAGGATCAATAGGGCTGCTGCTGCACTCTGCACTGAAGGGCTGTTCTTAAAGTAAAAGGTTCTGAGCCGGCAATTATTCACTACACAATTGTTTAGCAATAATATCATTTGGCCTGTGATGTACTTTAGAGACACAGAAGGAATGCAGTGCAAATACCTACACATAACAGACAGAACAGGGGAACATGCAAGGGAATGCCACATATACACTTCGCCTATTGAAGCTGAAAGCCAAGTAACACAATACGGACTGTACATTATATCTTTGTTATTTTATTTATTTATTTCCAAATGAATGACAATGCATATAGCCCAGGACAGGCACAAAGAAACAACAATACTGGTATATGTTATATTATACAGCCTATTGCATTTGTTAACTTGTTTTGACAGTGTTGTGTCATAGCCTGTAGTGACCTACTATATCAGGCAACTGAATAAACTTTGGTGAGCAGTTTTGAACAATTATTCAACAACCACACTTTATGAAACCTTTCTGTCTGTTAGTGAAAATGTGTTTAAATAATAAATATGACATTTTCTCTATAACTTTTCACATGGCAACACATTATCTTAATTACTTTAAAGATGCTCCGTGTAAGTCCTCTGGTGGAGGGTCTGCCACCTGCTTGTCTCCATGGAGATGTTATTGCTATTCCTGGGAATGTTCCATGGTATGACATTAAACATAACCATCTAGAATTTATTCACTACGGGTGTTTCTCTTGCACAAAGATACAATAATTCCTTCTGTGAATAAAGGTGACTCTCCACAGATCTGAATTGTAAGATAACATAGTGCTGTAAGCTGCTTGTCTCTCTTATGATAGACAGGTTTATTATATACTGTGGAACATTCTAGACAATAACAATAGCAATAACACTTCCATGGAGACAAGCAGGTAGCAACCCTCCACTAGAAATGTTTTGCTGTGCACCTTTAACATATTTACACACATTTAGGATTAGTCCCAAATTGAACTTTCTTTCTGACAACTTTAATCATGGTTTGGGACTGGCACAAAGAATACAGTGTCTTTTAAGTCCCTATAATATTAGTATGCTACTATGCTTGCCATGCTAAAGTTTCTAGTGCATGCTGTGTCCCTTATGTCCTCTCTACTCAACACCTGTCACGCCTGAGTGGGGTTTGCTACACTTGTGCTCCGTCCATATTTCCAGACAGGAATTTCACACAAGCACATTTTAGACAGCTATTTTACAGACAGCCACTTAGTAACGCAATTAGTCACAGCCCGATCCTTATCAGCCTCTCCACAAATCAGCTTGTACGAGTCTAATGCTTTTTTTTTCTTCTAACCATTTTTTTCACTTATCTGATTGTGTGTGCAGTGGCTCCGTTTTCTACTATAACTAGAATGCCAATACCAGACTCAATGCTGAATCATGGGCTGCAGCTAACAAGGCCGATAGCTCAATATTAAAGGCTAAATGGAGTAGTCAAACACAATGACAGGCGGCTAACAGGCAGGCTAAGGCGGGGCTAGCTGCACTGTACCCGTTCGCTTATAGATGGGGGGCTTCCTGTAGATGTTGGGGTCCCCTGTGGCTGAGGAGAGACAGAGGAGATGGAGAAGTGAACGAGAAGAAGCTAAACAGTGCATCAGTGGTGGAAAAGTACTGCAACTTCATGACTGATAGTATACTTATATGACTTATGTTTATACCTAAGTCCTGCACACTCACACTAGGACTTCAGAACCGTGCCTTGCTCAAGCATGATTGCACATGGTTCTGTGACTCACGTTCACCCCTGCACAACCAAACCAGGCCACGGCTTAATGACGTCATCACACGGTTCCGTTTGTTTACTTGTCTCGCAGCAGAGCTAACACTTTTAGTGGAGAAAATAAGTCCAGCAGCTTGAAGTATCTATTAAATATTGAGGCAGATATGAGTCCTGCTGCAATACGTGCTCCTCCTTGGCTTTATGGATATATTAACATTAACACATATGCAGAGGAGTGAGGATGGCCGGAGAAGAGAGGCTGCAAAACGTCTGTCACTGTCCACAGTCCTTATTGAAGGTAAGCGCAGATTCACTGTCTTTTAGAGCGAAGTTTATTCACTTATTCACTCGTATGAATAACACATAGCGTAGTAAAGTTGTGTGTGTACGCATACATGAGCAACCGTGCCGTGCTTTGGCCAACCACCTCCAACCGGGCCAAACGTACTACACTTAAGGAGCTATCTGTGGTTGGACACGGTTCTAAAGTCCTAGTGTGAGTGCACCCTAAGACTTTACAAAAAGTATAAAAAAGAATATCAGCATCAGCATTTTTTTTTTTTTTTTTTTTTTTTGACTACCCAAAACAATAAGAGCCACTGATAATGCCTCTACCCTTATTTCTAATCATTTCTAATATCACAACCTATTCTATTAAACAGCTACTCTAGTACTTTAAATTTATAATGTTATGTTTCTGTATAGTCCACTAGCTTGATTATGTAAATGAACTGTCCTACTACTATTGCTCATAATAATTTCTGATACTGAGATTAGTATATGTTTGTGCCATAAACTGTATATATAAATGGACATAGCTAGCCTCACTAGCCTCTATACCAAAACAGGAAGTAAGCATGGGCGCTCTTCCAGCTCCATCGACTCCAATTCACTTAACCCTCTCTCTGCAACGGCTATTGTCAGGCTTCTCATTTTGGTCTTAAAATGTTTATATTAACCCTCTCTATATGATCCAGGTGTTTTTATTTTTGCTATTTTGTCTGTAAATCAATTCCTATTCCTAATATTGAATTGAATTGCGTCCCTTAGTCCCCTTCATTATACAGTCTATGGTCTTTGTACTCTGATAAGTACCTTTACAAACATTTATCAGAAAGCATTTGCATACATCACTTGCTTAAAAGACTAAGAGTTACTTTCCACCACTGTTGAACAAGACTCACAGAGAGGATTGTGTTGGGATGGGGAGGGTGAGGAACTGAACATAAAATAAAAGTACATGAAAGGAGACATATGCCAAGAGCTTAAATACACGTTTTGACAACCTCTTATTCCCAGAGAAAGTAAAACCATGTCAGAGTGATGAGCATTAGTGAAGTGGGTTAAACATGGAGATTGTGAGAGTAGTGCAGTGAGGAGATGAGGAGGGCTCCTACCTGGTACATGAAAATGTTTGGGGGGCTGGTTTGTGGTGGGTGTGCTGGACCGCCCATCTTGGCCGTAATAGGGCGAGCTCCTGCCACTCTCGGAGCCTGCCGCCAGCCACAGCCAATCACAGCAGAGGGATAATGACCATGAGGGAGGGGTTTAATAGAGCATCATGCAGATGAAAACGTTAATATCATTCAAAATTACAACATGACTCTGGATAACTATTCCACTTGTGTAATGACAGTTTGGTTTAGCTTTCAAATAGACAGTACAAAGAGTGGATCAAGGGACTGCAAGCATGTTTTTTTTGTTTGTATTGTGATTTTAATGCGTTTCTTATACTGTAAAGCACTTTGAATTACTTTGTGTAAGAACTATGCTACACAAATAAACTTGCCTTGCCTTACTGGTTAATCTAGATAGCCCTTAGAGACTGACTGTATCAACTGTGACTAACAGGCCATTACAGTTTATTTAAAAGGCCATATTATGCAATTCTCTGATCTATGTCATAATGTTGTTTCCTCATCAAAAACATACCTGGAGTTGTGTTTTGTTTCATTCACACGTTTAACATATTTAGGCTGATTTCTTCTCTCAGTCAGACACTCTACCTTGTGATGCCATGTTTTAATACAGGAAGTGCTCCATTGTGTTTTTAAACTCCATACACCTTTACTAGAATGATTTATATAAGCCCTGTAAATGCATATCTTTACTGAACTGAAGACAAAAGGCAGCTGTTAACTTGAAAACTGTCGTTTCATGACATCATAAGGTGGAACAGAGCATTTTGAGGTCTGGAGGTGTAGACAGACTAATAATAGGTTAGGGTGACCATATTTCCGTTTGTGAAAACCCAGATACCTTACGGGGGGTAGGGGGTGGGACCTCGACATTGAGCTACTCTCACCTCGCAACCTGTGCACATGGCCTCCCACTTGTCCCGATTGGGACGGAAAACGAAGAATTTCTTGTACAAGTCATTGTTAAATGCACATTTGCACTTCGGCATGTTGACGCCCAGGACAGAACGCAAAAAACATGTCCTGGGAAAAACAGACATTTGGTCACACTATACTTAAATGTTGGGTTTAACTCCAGGTGTGGTTTTGATTAGGTAACATTCTAGCATGACTAAAAGCTCACAATAGTCAATTTTGCTTATTATACCTTTAATCAACCAAAGCCATATTTGACCCATTTGGCATTTTGATAATTTTGCTGTTTTCAAACTATTGTAATTAATGTTGAACTGTATCTGCTTTCTCTGAGTGCCGAGCCTTTTTCTATGCTTCCAGCTCTAGTTTGACTCCAGATTCAATTCATCAGTGCATTAGAATAAAATTTTCTTCTATCTCCTTCAGTCATTATTAGAAAGCAGGACCTAGTTGCATTTAGTTGTCTTCAATAAACTTTATTATTATTTTAAATTAACTTCCACCAAATAACTGTGTAAAAGTGTCAAATTTTGTTGAAGTAATAATTTGTCTCAAAAACTGCATCATAGTTTACACTTTTGGCCAATGCTACAGTCCATTGATCCACTCTGTTACTGTGTATTGAGTCAGTGCACATGTGTAAGAGTTAGATGAGATGACAGCCATTGATGGTTAATTGTCAATTAGTTGGTAAACCTTGAATTCTTTAGTCATCAATGAATTTATGCAAGGGTCACTGACAATGAAAGCAATGGAGATTACAATGCAGTTTATATATTTGATACAAGTTATACAAGGTGTGTATTTAGACATGTAGAACATCATCAACTCACCAGTGTAGCCATAGTGCTGCGGAGAGCGAGGCATGATGGGAGACATGCCCTGGCGACTGAATGTTGGAGAATCTATGTAACCTGGACTGGGGCACCTCTGCTTGTCTAAACTGTCATAGTCCTAAACACAGAGACATCACTGTAAGATACTTAAAAGGAAATGAGTAAGGACCAGTGGTGGAAGAAGTACTTTTGCTCGTGTTGCTTAAGGGTGCATTGTGCTCAGGTCAGATCTATGGAGAGGCAACCCCGCTCACAGTCGGAAAGCCTGTTTTTCTAGCTATTTTTAAGCTATAAAACCACCTGTAAATGAATAAATGTAAAGTAGAGCTGTTTAATGTCATACAGTGGAACATTACAGGCAGAGCAATGACATATCCATAAAAAGAAGCAGGTGATGGGCCCCCAACAAAAACGTTACATAGTGCATCTTGAAGTAAAAGTAAAAATATCATATGAAAAAAGCTACTCAAGTAAAAGTATTATAAAGGACATGTTTAAGATGTGCTTAGAGTAAAAAGGATAAATATTTTGCACACATTTTGAGCTCAAATAAAGCTTCAAATGTAATGATTTTAATACAGATTTGTGCTGAATTTTGTTCAACAAAAACAATTGTTTTTTTCCTAACTGTTTTTATTTGTATATTTTTGTTTGTTTGAATTTTAAATGGGTTCAAAATAAACCCTCAGCCTTTTCAGCAGGTCTCAAACTATAACTACTTTTAAATTATTTTACTATAAATATTTCTACATTTTTACTTCTGTTCAAAAATGCAGAAGAAAATAAAGATACCTACACACAAATGTAGTATTAAAAAAAAAAAAAAAGTAAATTACAGGTACCTAAAATGTATACTTAAGTATAGTACACTACTACTTTTCCTTCATCACCTTCCACCACTGGTAAGGACAAGCCAAATAGTTGAGTGACAGGTTCACGTGGCAGGTGCGGATGTGTCTGTACCTGCCCCGAGTGGAATAGTGCTTACCTGAGAATATGGAGAGAGCGTCCCGAGAGACTGGGGATGAGAAAGAGGACAGTTAATATTTATGGAGTTATATAGGACACAGTCATCAAGCGTCAGCATCAAGAGGCCATTTGCAGAATTGACAACCAGGTTTTCTTAATTGAATATTTTTTCAATCTATTTTATCAATTAGCAGTGAGGAGTTTATGAATACAAATGTTGCCCGTTGGAAAGCAGTTGTGTGCATCCCGTTGTCAGTTGAAAGTGGTTGCCAAATTATTGTTACTACTGTGAGTTTTAAGATCTTGTGTTGCTACTGGAAACACCAATCTTACCAATCATGTTGACTGATTTTGGTAATTAATTTAAAGGCAGCTAATGTTTTGGTATGTAATCAACCATAACAATAACTGAAAATACCCTAACCCAAACGCTCCACTGCACCAGGTAATCGGTTTTCCATCTAATTCATGTATGTTAAGCAAACTTCAAAGCTGGACTGTGCAACTTTTAGGTTGGGGGTCCATCACCTTTCTTGTATGTCCTTGCTCTGCTTAGAATGTTCCACAGTACGATATTAAACAGCTCTATCTTACTTTTGTCAAATTACAGGTGGTTCTATAGCTAAAAATACCAAGAAAAACAGGCTGTGAGCAAGGTTCCCTCTTCACAGATCTGACCTGTAACTTGGTCTGGTTTGGTCTCCATGAAGATAGAAAAGTTTAATGCCATACTGTGAAACATTCCAATTCAAAGCAATGCAACTGGCAGACCCTCCACCAAAAAAGTTACACAATGCACCTCTAAGTTAGTCAATGTGAAATGTACTGTATACTTCCAATAAACATATTTAGAGGCAAAACAAAACACATTTTTTTGATATCCTGTTATTCTTTTCCTGAATGCTTTACTGTGGAATTTTATTTCCAGCACAGCTCCACACTTAACTCTCTGTTTTAACCTTTCACAAACAAATGTAAAGATGAGGTGACAAAGAGGAAATGATCTGTAATTAATCAGCTAATTGAACCTTGAAGTATAAATGTCAGTGAGTTTGTAATCATGCACCAGAGCATGAAAGAACAGCCAGTGAAGTCCTTCTTCTAATTAAACATTTAAACCCAAATGCCAACCCGAGATATTAGACTGAAATAAGTTAGAAGTATGATTGAACATTGCATTACAGCAAGTATATTCAACATCAACTTTGTTTTTAAAGTGGAACTCTGTAACTTTTATTAGTAACTTTTTATGTGTTTATGCCTAATTTTGCCTACACCTTTAATATTAAAGGTCCTATATTACGCAAAATTGAGCTCTTGTGAGCTGTAAACCATGTTAAAATGTTGTTACCTCATTAAAAAGAAACCTCGGACTTGAACAACCATTTATTATTAGTCTGTCTACATCTCCTGAGCTCAAAACACTCTGTTCCACCTTGTGACGTCATGAAAGTAGTTTTCAAGTTAACAGCTTCAGCAGAAATGGACAATTCCAGGTCTGAAATGATCCAAATAATTCTAGTGAAGGTGAAAAACAAAAATGTGGAGCACTTCCTGTATTACCAAGTCACATCACAAGATGTTTTCCTTTCGAGAGAAGAACTCATTTTAAATATGACAGATTTCTGTGTTTAACATGTGTGAATGAAACAAAACAGAACTCCAGGTATGTCTGTGATGAGGAAAGAATATTATAAACAGATATGAAAATAGCATAAAATGGGCCCCTTAAGAGTTACTCAGTTCCACTTTAAATCTCCTGGTAAACTTTAGTAGTAGTGTCAGTCTTTTTGAGTCCAGGCGTGTGCTTTGAATGTACCTCCCCATAGCTGTAAGTGTCTAGCCTCTCATCGGAGGCGTATCTGTGGTAGGGCTGGTAAGAGGAGGAGCATATGAGGTCAGGCGGCTGCACCTCGTAAATGGCCTTGACCCTGGGGAGGGCAGCTAGGTCCTTATAAGCTAGGAAGTCATTCTCCACTCTGGCCTGGAGAGAGGACACAGAACACCACACCAAAAACAGAGACAAAGACACACAATTAGGCCTGTCACGATAATTACTATATCAACTTATCGTATATGATAAAACAAATATTTATATCATATGTACCTTTTCTTTGCACTAGGAAGATATTTTGGCAATTTTTTGGCAATGCAATAAAATTTGAGCTGTAAAAGTTTGATTATACACAAACTAATAACTAAAGCAAATGTATGTTAAATGGCTTGCCAACTGTACTGTTTTTTGTTCTATTATTGACCAAAATGTAAAAAAAAACAAAAAACTGTTACATTCTGCTGTTTATTTGTTGCAGCTCGTGTTTTTGTTTTATATATTTATTTTTTGCTTTAAGGGTATTACATTAGTGGCATAAATTTGTAGTTTCAATATTATCTTTTATTGTTATTTCAGCAAAATATCACTCTTGAAAATGTATTATCGTGACAGACCTACAGATCAACCACATGAACAGAGCACAGAGAGGCGTGGTGCATTCAGGTGCTCACAGAGAGGAGGAAAATGCTGATACAGGCAGAAATGGCATCTACAACATTCTGACTTGAATTGACAAGTGGAACATCTCTGACAGTTTTATGACTTTAGATGAGTTTTATTTGTGATCATTAAAAAGACTTATGCAGCTTTAGTCATCTGTGATTTATGCCCCACGGACATCTTTGTACATTAACATGGCCAAATGCTTATCATTCTTGAAAACCTCAAGGTGAAAATTTAGAGCAGCTTCGCTTTAAAGAGTTAATTTTGATATCAAGTCTGATTTGTGTAATTATTATAACCAAGAATGTGATCACAACAAATTACATCCATCAACAAAAACAGTGAATGGGGCAAGAAAATGTTGATTTATTGTGAAATCACAAATGACAAATATTCTATTCAAATATATATTATTCTAAGTAATATGCTTATGGCTGTATGCATTTAGGTATATGAAATAAACATGAATTGGGGATTCTTGAATGCTTTTGCAATTTCTATTATACATTTTTGAGTACTTTTGAAAATTCAAAAGATAGATCATTTAGTTTGGTTGTGTCAAAGATCCTATATAACATAAAATTTACTTTTGTGAGCTTTAAGCCATTTCATAATGCTGCTATTACCTCATCAAAGTTGGAGTTGTTTTTGGTTTCATTCACACATTTTAATAACCCTTTATTATTAGCCTGTCTATATCTCCAAAGCTCGGAATGCTCTTTTCCACCTTGTGATGTCATGAAGTGGTAGATTTCAAGTTAACAGCTAGCTTTTGTTCAGTAAAGATTGGTAATTCCAGGGCTGAAATGATCCAATTGATTCAAGTGAAGTTGTATGGAGTTTAAAAACACAGTGGAGGACTTCCAGTATTACCGCATGACATCACAAGGTGGGGTACAGTATTTTCATTTTGAGAGAAGAGCTCAGCCTAAATATGCTGGGTTTGTGTGTTAAACATGTGAATGAAACAAAAGACTCCAGGTATGTTTTGGTGAGGAAACAACAGTATACCATAGATCAGAAAATAGCATAATATGGACCCTTTAATTGCGATGGCTATGGTATTTATTTTCCGTCACTCTCAAACCCATGGATAGGAGCACTTGAATGCAGAACAGGCACAGAATGGGACCAGAAGGATCGAACACCTTTAAAAAAAGCACAAATCTGAACCACAGCATGCACACTGAGGCTACACACTCCCACATACAGCAGCACTGGAAGTAGTTGACCTTCATGAGTTTAGCATGTGTAACACAGGAGCAGAGAGAAGACAGTATGGGGGACCAGGCTAGTGCTGACGCAGCGTTTTGCTCTCATCCATCACCTCAGAACGAAAGGTCATTGATTGTAGAATGAGAGGGGAGCGGGTTAGAGCTGTGTACATGCAGGCCAGTCCTGACATGTCAAGGCACAGGCAACCAGCAGCACTTAGCTCGGTTTCAATGCAACACAGCCAGGCTTTGAACTACTGAGAAACATGCACCTAAATTACACACATATACATAATACATAATATACATATCCTTATTCAAGATATTACTTTATTTATATTTATTGTACCATTGGTGATATAAAAAGGTATCTGATGAATTTTAACCAGGTATACAATAGGTTTACTGCATATCATGTCCCCTGTAAAAAACAACAGTATTTTCAATCAATGTAATCAAGAAAAAAATAAAGATCTTGGTTAAAGGTACACTGCGTAACTTTTCAGGTTTGATGTCTGCCACCATGGAGATGCTATTGCTTTCCCTATAATGTTCCACAATATGGTATTAAACTTATATAAGATGCATTTATTCAATTATGGGTGTTTTATTGCACAAAAATACCTTTAAAAGCATATGTTGTTATTGTGAGTGGGGTCACCGCTTCACAGATCTCACCTGTAAATTGGCCTAGTGCCATCTCTTTCTTGCCTCCATAGGGCTGGATACATTTAATGCCCTACTTTGGAACATTGCAGGCAAAACAATAAGATGTCCATGGGCACAAGCACGGTAACAGTGCTCCACCAGGAAAGTTACACAGTGCACCTTTAAACTGATCAAGGCTTGTATTGGGGTAGATTAATATTTCATAATTTGAAATGCAACAATATGATTTTTGTGATTGTCATTTCTTATTCTTTTACTTCTGCTGGCATTTTGAGAAACAGTAAAGTTGCCAATAGCATGTTTTATATTTTAAATGTCTAAATGTAAAGGGACTTTGAGTGCACAGTGCAATGAGATTAATGAATTGAAATGAGAACGAAATTACTAGTAGTAAATAGCATTTATATAAAGGTGTTTTATAACAGATGCCCATCCTTACAAAGTCTTATATCTCTCTTATATAATATCTGACCATTTCTGTGAAGACATTTTGAATCCTTTGAATAAAATTGTCTTTCTAGTTTGTATAAAAAAAATACAAATAAAAAACAATGCGAACTATTTAACATTTTTTTCTGTTTACTAAAGCCCTTGTAATTGACACATATTGATTTCCCATGCACAAAGCAGAGTGCAAGGTGAGACAGACACAAACACGGCCGTAAGCGGTGACACACAAAGCTACAGTGAACAGGCCAGTGGAGTCAGGTCAGTGCTGAACCAGCCAAGCCTCAGGGTGGTGCTTGTGTTACTGCTTTGGGAGGGGGTAAAAGGGCAGGGGGGGGGGCTTTTGTGCTTACCACTGAAGGTGACTGAAGACTGCTGGATAATAGGTTACTTACACATATAACTCTACTGGGAGAGCCGATGGAGGAGCCGGGAGGAGAGATAGAAGCTTCCGACAGACGCCTGTGCTGTGAAGGAGAAGAGACAGGTGCGTTGTTTTAAAAGTGACACATGATTTTTTTGTAATTGTTATTGTAAGTTTGTATTGTATGTTGTGATTCTCATTGACTCAAACACACCCTGAGTCTTTTCTCTGCCCTGGCCGCCTGCTTGCATAATGGGTGCCACACCTCCGAGCCTACAAAACAAGCGTAAAATCATTGTTATTTTTTTCCCACATGCATAGTACTTATATACAGTGACAATACTGATTTGAATTAAACAGATTCTTACATCTATCTATCCACCTATCTATCTTGGTTATTTGGTAACCTTATGTAACTTTTCTGGTGGAAGGTGCTTGCCTCCATGGAGAAGATATTGCTTAGCCAGGAATGTCACAATAAAAACCTTGTGCCACCTATGTCACGTGTCTCTATGGAGATAAATTTGAGTAATACCATACTCTGGAAGATTCTAGGCTAAACATAAACATATGCCTGGAGACAAGCTGCCGGCTGAGTACTAATCGGGTTACATAGAGCATCTTTATGTAACTTTTTGCTGACATAATGAATATATTATGGTATGATCACATATTATGGCTGACGTTTTCTTAGGCTGACGTTTTAATAATGTACAGGTAGTAGTAGTATTTTTGGAGACACTCTCGAAAACTAGATTGTTCTTATCTTAAGTAAATGGTAATATTATTTGAAAACAATTAAATTCTGTACATTTAAAGTTAAGTTTGCAAGTACATTTAACTCTTACTGAATATATACTGAAGTAACAATATTCAGCAGACACCATCCACCTCTGGCTATTCCCATGCACATAAACTGCTAATGGGATGATCTGTTGTTGAGTTTCACCTGTCAAGTACATCTCCTCTCCCTCTTTGAACATGGTCTTGCAGCGGGCACAGCGGGCACATGTGGGGTGGTAGTGCTTCCCCCCGGCCTGTACGAGACAAGAGAGACAGAGAGAAAAAAGAGGTGTGACCGAACATAAATTATCACCATAAACAGTTGCTCCATAGAGAGAGCTAATCTGCAAATGGCTCCCCCACCACGAGCGGGTCATGCTGTCCATATGTTTCATAATGTTAAGCACCTGACCACCAGCGGCCCCACACTGGTACAAGAGACCACTGAGGAGACTTGCCGGGGGCGGGGTGGGGGGGTATCAACCACACAGACGTCACAAGGCAAATGGTTCAAAATATATTCATACCGCCACAGAAAAAAAGAAAAAAAAAAAACTTTTTTCAACTCATAATGATATTAGGTCCCATATGATCCAATATCTTGTGTTGTCTTGCAGTGACAGTTTTCAGTTTAACAGCTACCGTTTACCTTTTGATTAGTAGAGCTAGGGCTGAAACTATGATTCTAATGAAAGTGTCTGAAGTTTAACAACACGGTGGAGCACTTCCTGTGTTGCCACATGACATCACAAGGTGGAAGAGGGTGTTTCCTGTTTGAGAGAAGCCTAAATTTGTTTGAGTTAACAGTTATCTCAAATATTAGATCAAAAAAAAAAAAAAACAGGTATAAGAGACTTGTTCAACCAAAACTGATAACAAATAACCTCTAAGTACTTGGAACAGCCCATGTTTTCTTCCATCTGTGGTCCTTACACCAGACCACCATTGCTTTACTCTACCCCACATTTAGAGCTCAGTCCCAGTAGACTAGTCACATGACAAAACGTGCAAAAAGAGAAAGGTACGGGAAACATGTCCTGGATGTCCGATATGGCTCCTCGGGGATAGTCTGTGTAGGTGAAATGGGCACACGGAATAGCTTGTGTATGAAGTCTGTTCAGTGTGCGAGACCATCCTTTTCACTTGGTTCACTGTCCCAGGACCCCTAACACTCGGGGACGCACACAGGCAGCAGGGCAGGTGGCCGAGGTTTGCCCCCATCCCCTCACCTCAGCCCCCCAGACCCTCTCAGACGCACCGTGAGAGAAGAGCTATTAATAGAACCAGTCATGTGACCTGTGTCAAGGAGAGGGGACATGGTCATGAAGAATTATTCTGCATTCATGTACAATTCAGTGGGAGAAGACCATGTTTTCTGGGTTGAAAACAGGTGAAGGTTGAAGCAATAATATCCATAATACAGCTATTATGATCCTTACAGGTCCTATAATATGCAGGATTGACTCTTGTGAGCTTTTAGCCATGTTATAATGTTGTTACTTCTCAAAAACATATCTGGAGTTGTGTTTTGTTTCATTCACATATGTTTGAGTAATCCTAGTTTATTGGTCTGTCTATATCTGCAGAGCTCAAAATGCTCTTTTCCACCTTGTGATGTCATGATGGCTGAAATTATCCAAATGGTTCAACTGAAGCGTTTAAAAACACAGAGGAGCACTTCCTGTAGGTGGAACACAGTGTTTTCCATTTGAGAGAAGAGCTCAGTCTAAATATATAGAGTTTGTGTGTAAAATGTGTGACTGAAACAAAACATCACTCTAAGTATGTTTCTGATGAGGTAATATGGGCCCTTTAACTAATAGGCGTTAACAAGTGAAGAATGAGGCAGCAAATACATTGTAAAAGTAGGTCCTTCCTGTAATTGTGTGAAATAAAATCTTCATTAGCAAATGAATAATAAAAAATAAGATCTGACTTCAAATCTGCCAGCTCCTTTTGTTGGACTGCATAGGGCTGCTGCATTGCAAAATTCATCACAGGAATAACATCTCTAAGGGAAGCTATTGTGATTACTTTTTGTAGTTGAAAACACAGGCTAACACATGTCTTTGTGCATGAAAAAACACATTTAATGAAAACACAAGACAAGAGAATGACTTTGAACCCTGTGATCACAAAAATGCAGCCTGAAACCATCTGAAGCAACAACTTACCAAAAATCCCCTTTATATGTCTTTTTCTGAGAAAATATATTTAAGTTATTCAGAAAGCATCCCTCTTTGATCACTTCTTTTAAAGGTTCTATATCACGCATAATTTACTATGAGCTTTAAGCTTTGTTATTTATAATGTTGTTACCTCATCAAAAACATATCTGGAGTTGTGTTTTGTTTCACTCACACATGTTTGTCTACATTATTTGTCTACATTAGCCAGGATGGCGCCACCTAGTGCCTATGCTTAGTTTCATTTCTCTCTAGTGACTAGTTCAGGAATCAGAATACACTAAACGGTTTGCAAGAACCCCGGCAGTGCAAGTCCGGGCACCAGCCAGTCATCGAAGAGCCATACATTCTGTGTTGGCAACAATTCCCAAGATCAAGGATATAAAACTGGAACAAAGAGAATGTTTGTTGAATTTTATCAAGGGGAAAGACATTATTGCCCTTCTTCCTACGGGATTTGGGAAAAGTTTAATATACCAGTTAACCCCGTTAATGGAGCATTACACAAGTCACAACCAAATAGCAAAGATTGATTAAATAAAAAAGTACCCGCCTACCATTGATCGAACGAATTCTAATGCTGCAAGATCAGATGATTTCTACGAAGTGAAACTGGCTGATAAATCAGGCTATTTCTACATCTCCAAAGCTTAAAATGCTCTGTTCCACCTTGTGATGACATGAAGTGGAGGTTTTCAAGTTAATAGCTACTTTTAACCTTTTGTTTAGTACAGATTGACAATTAATTCAATTCAAGCATTCAAATGATTATAGTGAAGTTGTGTGAAGTTTAAAAACAAAGTAAAAATAAAACTAAATATGCAGGATTTGTGTGTTAAACATGTGTGAATGAAACAAAACTCAATTGTGGGTATGTTTTTGAAGAGGAGACAACATGATAACATAGCTCAAAATGTAGCACAATATGGGCTCTTTTTTTTAACAATGTTTCAACTGCATTTTAATCACCTTCTTCCTTTTTTCATTCTCTCCTCTCTCTCTCTCTTCTAATCTGCTCTTCCCTCTGTCATTTTCTCTCTCTTCTCTGCCTCTTTCTCTCCATCTCCTCCAGTCTCAGGTTACTCTGTAAGAAGAACCAGGAAGGATGCTCCAAGAAGCCTGACTTTCCTTTCCGCCTCGTGCCTTTCCCAGCATTGGCACTGTCTATATCAGCATGCACACAATATCACCTCGCCATTAGAGTGTGTAATGAGCTGTATAAATGACCGGAAGTCCTGAAAATAAGACTGGGACACTAAAATAGGAATGTTATGGCTTGCACTTGGAAATCCGAGTTGAAATAAGACAGCGTCCTCGATTCACGCTGGCAGTGGGCACAGCGAGTGTTCATCCCATGCAGTGTGGCGATCTAATTGTTCTGCAAATCTGTTAAAGCAACTGGAAACTCGAATGAATTAACAGTTGTGAGAATTAATGGATTAAAGCTGGCATCAGTTGCTATAAATGAGCAGTAGTATTGTCAGTGTAAATTAAAGGTGCATTGTGTAACTTTTCTGGTGAAGGGTCCATCATATTCCTTTTTCTGTGAAGATGTTATTGCTTTTTCTGGAATGTTTCACAGTATGGTATTAAACCTTTTTATCCTCATGTGCCAGACCAAGTTACAGGTCAGATCTGAGGAGAGGCAACCCTGCTCACAGTCAGCCTGTTTTTCTATATATTTTTGAGATATAAAACCATCTGTAATTGAATGCATTTAAGGAAGAGCTGTTCAAAGTCATATTGTGCAACATTCTAGGCAGAGCAATGACATATCCATAGAAACAAGCAGGTGACAGGCCTCCAACCAGGAAGTTGCACCTTTAAAGTAGTCCTGATAATATAAATGGCCATATTAATAATTTGTCTTTATTTTTGGAGTTACACTGGATTAGGTATTTCAGATTTGTCACAGTGACATGTGAATAGCTAGCCAGGCTGGCGCCACCTAGTGCCTCCGCTCAATTTCATTTCTCTCCAGCGACTAGGTCAGGAATTGGAATACACTAGACCAGTCGCAAACCCTGCAAGTGCGAGTCCGGGCACCAGCCAATTAGCGAAGAGCCATATATTCTGTGTTGTCAACGATTCCCAAGATCAAGGATTTAAAGCTGGAACAAAGAGAACGTTTGGTGAATTTTATCAAGGCGAAAGACGTTATTGTCCTTCTTCCTACGGGATTTGGGAAAAGCTTAATATACCAGTTAGCTCCATTAGCGGTGCATTACATACGTCCCGACCAAATAGCAGCGATTCGTTAAATGAAAAAAAGTACCTGCCTACCATTGAGTGAACGAAATCTCAGGCTGCAAGGTGAGACGGTTTGTATGAAGTGAAACTGGCTGATGAATCAGGTTAGTGAAGAGCAGAGCAGGGCCACAAATTTAACATCACAAACATTTTGAGATTTTGGTTTTCAACATGTTGCCAGATAGCACAGCTAAAATTCAGAACAGAGTCAGCTGTCATAATAATTGATGAATCATTTTAATTATTAGAGGTATATGTGTAAAAAAAACAAAAAGACAAAAAAAAAAAGTTTGGTCAGTAAAAAGGGATAGTGGAACATAAGGGGAAGTGAGTGTATTTACTGAGAAGGGTTAGTGTACTATTTAGAGTCGGCTACAGTTTTAGTCTTCGTATAAGTGAGGAATTCTTTGAGGCCTTGTGAAATGTATCGTTCATAATCACACACTGTCATATCTTTGTGAAGTATCACACATGTCTCACAATTCAAACTAAATATTAAGAATAATCAGTACAATTTAGATCTGAATCAGCTTTAAATCATGTTATAATGTTGTTTCCTCTTCAAAAACATACCTGTTGTGGTTTGTTTCATTTACACATGTTTGACTAGTCCTTTATTAGTCGGCTTACATCGTTTAAAAAACAATTCTGTATGCTCTGTGTTTGTATGTATATGTCAGTCACTCTTAAGGTTAAATCTATTGGTACGAACATTCAAACCTGACAAGGAAATACAATGAACAAGCCACTGGAGTCTGGACCCCTGCACTGGCAAAGGGCAAGAGACAATAAAAAGACAAACAGAAAAAAGAGAGAGAGAGAGAGAGAGAGAGAGAAACAGGGATAGATAGATAGATAGATAGAGAGAGAGAGAGAGAGAGAGAGAGAGAGAGGGAGAGGCAGGGAGACGGGTAGAGAGAGACAGAGAGAAAGAGAAAGACAGAGAGGCACAGAGAGACAGACAGACAGGGAGAGAGGGGGGGGGGAGACAGACAGAGAGAGAGAGAGAGAAACAGAAAGAGATAGATAGATAGAGAGAGACAGACAGACAGGGAGAGAGAGAGAGAAACAGAAAGAGATAGATAGATAGAGAGAGACAGACAGACAGGGAGAGAGAGAGAGAGAGGCTGATAGAGAGAGAGAGGGTGGAGAGAGAGAGAGAGAGAGAAAGAGAGACAGGCAGGGAGACAGGATGAGAGAGAGAGAGATAGAGAGGCAGGGGACAGAAAGAGGAGAGAGACACGGAGAGAGAGAGAGATAAAGATATATACATATTATATTTAGAGAGAGAGAGGCAGAAAGAGAGAAAAAGTTACAGAGAGAGAGAGCTAGGCAGAGAGACAGAAAGAGAAAGTCAAAGATAGAGAGACAGAGAGAAAGAGGGAGAGAGAGAGAGAGACAGACAGACAGGGAGAAAGAAACAGAGATATATACATATTTATATAGATAGATTTATATATAGAGAGAGAGCAACAGAGAGGCAGACAGAGACAGAAAGATACACACAGAGAGAGAGAGAGAGATAGATGGAGAGAGACAGACTAAGAGGAAGATAGACTGAAAGAGATAGACAGACAGACAAACAGACAGACAGAGAGACAGAAACAGAAAGAGAGAGACAGACAGAAAGAAAGGCAGAGAGAGAAAGTCGGAGAGAGCGAGAGAGACTTGTAGATAAAGGCAGCATATGTCTATAAATAGCCGAGGGAGTCTGACAGTCAAGAACAAAGCACTACACCAGCCCATTTGACAAGTAGTCCCTGAGTCTTTCATGTATAACACAAATGTACAAGTCCGCTGTGTTTCCTCGCCTCCCCATAGACTCCCTAAGTTATCCCAAAATGTTTAATTAGCATCTGTACTTTATTTAGACAATTATTTTAAAGCAAGTGCCTCATTATCTCCCCTCGACTTCCTCTTAAAATCTCCACGGCTCTGCACACTCTGCTCTCCTCTGCCTTCATTACTTATTCCAGGTCTTTTTTAAAGTCTTTAAAACCACATGAGGCACACATTTGGAGAAAGTGCATCTCTCTTTCCTCTCCTCTTCTCCCTCTCCTCTCCCCCATCTTTCCCATGGCACACTTTCTCAACATCGTCTGATCTGCCTTCTGTTCAGTCTCCGCATGTTGGTATGGTTGTTCGAAATGATAAATTTTGTGACTTTGATGAAGATAATTTGTAAACAAAAAGAGTTTTTTTGTGAGTTGACTGTTATTGCTTCATCGGGAATGTTTCACATTATGATCTTAAACCTTTTTATTTTCATGGAGACCAAACCAGACCAAGTTACAGGTCAGATCAGAGGAGAGGCGACCCCGTCCACAGTCAGAATGCCAGTTTTTCTAGGTTTTTTGAGCTATAAAACCAGCCGTAATTGAATAAATATACATAAGTAGAGCTGTTCAATGTCATACTGTGGAACATTCCAGGCAGAGCAATGGCATATCCATAGAAACAAACAGGTAACAGATCCCCAATAAAAAAGTTACACAGTGTATCTTTAAGGACTTTTATGTTATATTATGTTTTATACCCTTGATCTCTTCGTACTCTACATTTAATGACTCTCACCTCCAGGACTCTCCCACTGATGTATCTGCTGCAGGTCTCACATTTCACCCCATACTGGGCGTGGTAGTCTGCCTCACAGTACGGCACTCCATCTCTGCAATCACACAAAACACAACACAAACTCATATAAGGCATCTTATTAACAGTACATTCTCACTGTACAATTTTGTCTCATTAACTCATAAGAAGGACACCTTTAAAGCTCTATAAGTATTCAGTTTCTTTGTTTTTTTTTTTTTTAAGTAAAAAAACAGACACTAAATCCACAAATGTTGAGCCTAATAATGTTGTTTTGTTATAGATTTGGTAAACAGACTTGTCATATTAATCTTGTGGCTGGAAGTTTCCATGGGTGTTTGCCACAAAACTTGTTAATAAATAATAATAATTAAAAAAATATAATAAAACTGAGTGAAGAAATATCTCACCTCAGTTCCTTTGGCAATGACAGAGGCTGAACTTTGAGCAGTTTTTGTTTCATGTGTGTGTGTGTACATACATATATATATATATATATATATATATATATATATATATATATATATATATATATATATATATATATATATATATATATATATATATAATATATATATATATATATATATATATATATTATATATATATATATATATATATATATATATATTATATATACTATATATATATATATATATATATATATATATATATATATATTACTCGGACAGATATTAACCATGAACCAGGTATGGCAGGTTAAAAATGTAAAGGCTAATTGTCCACCCATTAACTGTATAAAGAAGTGAAGGGAGTATGACGTCACCCTTAGCGTTCGGCACCAGTCAAATGAAGCTCACTGAGACTCGGGGTTATAGGAGTGAATTTAGAGCCGAGTTCCATATTTGGAATTCTGATCACGAGTATCATAGCAACCGAAGAGCCAATCTGGAGCAAGGCTGTTGAAGGTAACGTCCCTTCCTGACCGCACAGCTGGTTTGGCAGGAGGTGGCAATGCTGTCAATTTAACCAGTTGCTAGTGTTAACAGGATGAAATAGTGAAGTAAAAACACCAGAATCATATAGAGCAGGTTATACAGACATTTCATTTTAAGACCAAAATGACGAGGCTCACACCATGCCCATGATAACTTCCTATTTGGAATGTATCCTTCAGCTCAGTTTTAGACTATTAACAGTTTTAATATCATGTGAACACAATATATTTCAATGTACAAAAGAGTGTGGTATATAAAAAAAGTATAAAGACATGGCCGTACTTGCTGATGTACTCCCCGGTGAGCACCATGCTGCAGGTCCGACAGCGGAAGCAGCTGACGTGCCACTGTTTCTCCAGAGCGAGGAGAGACTGGCCCTGCTTGATCTCTCCTCCACATCCAGCGCACTCTGCACAAGGTAAAACACAGCTGCTGACTTGAAAACGACCACTTCATGACATCACAGGGTGGAACAGAGCATTTTGACCTTTGGAATGCTGACAGAATTATAATAAAAGATAACTTAAACATGTGAATGAAATAAAACCGGAGTCCGGGTATGTTTTTGAGGAGGTAGCACCATTGTAACACAGCTTAAAGCTCATAAGAGTCAATCTCCCATAATATAGCACTTTTAAATCACTGTTGCTGCTATTTATGGTTTTCTTTCTGCCAAGTTATTTACTCATTTATTTTAAGCATAAGCAAAATAAGTTTAATGCCAAAGTGTGTAACATCACAAGCGAAGCAAGAACTGCTCCATTGTGACAAGCCAGCGGCGAGCACGTTCAACGAAAAAGAACCAAATGGAAAACTGTGATTTAACCATTATAATGAAAAAAAAAGTTACATTTTTGTCATATGGCCCAGCTCTAATTGCTCCATTATAGCTCTCCTGTAGCAAACAACATCTGTCATTCGTGTCCAGATAGGCCTGGCATCATAATTACTATCAACTCATTGTTCAATATATGAAAGCTGGAACTACAACTATATACTGTATTTTGAGGCTCAGTATTTATCATGTGTACAATTTCTTTGTCAAAAATGGGGTGATTTGGGGTATTTGTTGTACTAAAAATAGATAGAGCTGAATAAATAACTTCTATGGCTAAATATTGGTTCCTTATTTTCTGTATCTGTTGCAGCTCAGGCCTTTTAATGATATTGTTTTTTTAAAGATTGTTTACTGAGATTATCCTGCTTCATTGTTACTTAGTCAGTGGCAGATAGCAGCATTAGTTTCAATATTATCATTTATCGCAGAAAATCTCTGTAGCAATATATCGCGTTTCACAATTTGTTATCATGACAGGCCTAGGCTCAGACATCTCTCTAAACAGCAGCACAAATCAGAGCCCGTCCGCTCAGTGTGATGGATGCTGTATCATTAGTTAAACCGCGTCAGAGCTCCGAGCCGACCCATAACTGCCCTCTGCAGACTGGCTCCATTCAGAGGCATAAAATCCAACTGCTCCCTGGGCTCCTGTTTGTCACTGCTCGTATGAGAAGGGACACAGTGCACCCACAAAATATAACAACGCCACTTTTACTGCATGTTCTCTTTGATCAAATACAGCTCGTCTATATGAAGTGCAGTTGGTGCTGTAGACAGGAATGGAGGCAGGGTGACAATTCCAAGCAATATTGTAGTTATAAATATACTTTATATAGAATAGAACATGTTCACTAGTGTATTGATCCTTTTCAGTCATCGACATTGCTTGGGGGTGTGATGCTAACTGTAGGCTCTGTTCTGTCTAAGGCTTTGTTAGACTTTAATCTGAGCTCTATTTTAATACAATCTGACAACAACAAAAAATATGATTTTGATACAAATATGACACAAAATGATTTGCGATTTTAAACAAGTCCCTTTCTCACTTTTTTGTTGAAAATCAATCACATAAACAGGATGATGAAAGCTTGTATTGATTACAGGCTCCTGAAAATGTGTTTTTGAGTTTTCAGACAATCTTAAAACTTATTTGGCAGTGTTTGCTAATGTGTGCATTGCGTCTCCATGGTAACTTGTGAACACTTAACTTGTGAATTGCCAAACACATAAATGTAGAATACCCCTAGCGTGATGTCATTGCAAGGTATCAATGAGTGAGGAATAAGTAAGTAGTGAATGTAAACAGTACACATTGCTTTAATCATAACTGCCACCATTACTACCAACTACTACTGCTGCTGCTGCTGCTGCTGCTACTACCACTTCTGATATTATACACTATAACAGTATGAGTATACGGTGCTGTACACAAGAGTGGAGAAAGTCCTACAATTTTAAGTGATGTTAGAGTAAAAAGGTTAAAGTGGTGAATGTATGTAGCTATACACTGCTTCCATCACTACTGCAATGACCATAACTGCATCTAGTTAGCAGTACAAATACTTAACTACAACTAATTACTAATTACTAATTACTATAACTAGTACTATTGCAACCACTGATTCATTTTTTCAGGATAATTGTCAATACTTCTAATGAAATACACTTTCCCACCACAGTCTTTCCAGATTAAATAGTTGCTGATTCGCATCTCAGCATTGCAACTGGCTCCTGCCCAACGTCTACTGCCTTTTGGCAGATTTTCCATTTTAATTAATTCTATTTCAGCATCCAACTGTAAAACCAAATTAAATAAATGACTGCAACAAATCTGGATTGAGATCTATATGTTTGACTGAGGCCTAATCAATAATCCTGATGTATGAAGTCATGTGGCAATGAGGTGAAAAACTGACATTTATCAAGTCTCACATTTAATCAAGTTACGATCCACAGGTTAAGAGTTTAATGTCAGGACCAAAGCAAGATTTTTATTGCTGAGAGCTTTTAAGGCAAAACAGCAATGACTAATGTTGAGTCATTTGAGAAACTGCATTGAGTTCCTGGCTAAAGACTATTGACAAAGTCCTATCAATCACTGCTAAATGTCACTCAGGATGTGTGTGGACAGCAGAATAAGACGGACTACGCTGCGGATTTCAAGTGCAGGAAAACTGTTGGTCTTTGCTGAAAGGAGAGGTGCGGAGGGGTCCCTGGTGACAGAGGACGAGGTCAGAAAAGGTTAAGTTAAGCCAAATGTCGTGAAAATAGAAACAAATGGTGGGATGACCTTTTCCATATTTGGACACAGTGAAGTCACGGATTTTCTGACACCAATGCGTGTCTATTAGGAACATATAGGAGTGAATTTAAAGGTCCTAAATTGCGCAAAATTGACTCTTGTGAGCTTTAATCCAAGTTATAATGTTGTTACCTCATCAAAAACATATCGGGAGTTGTGTTTTGCTTCACATGTTTGAGTAATCCTTTATTAATCTGTCTACATCTCCAAAGCTCAAAATGCATGAATGAAACAAAAGACCTGGTATGTTTTACCAGGTCTAATGTACACATCACACCAGCATCAGTGCATTATGGGACAAAGTGAAGAGTAAAATCATGTGTGGACTTACGACTGGGCCCATGGATCTTGATGGGTTCGTTTGGTTTGACGAGTCTGACGGAGCACTGCTGGCACACACAGTCCTTCCCACTGAACGTCACTCTGTCTCCAATGGGAAAGGGCTTACTGTGGAGAGAAGAGAGATTAGGTAATTAGCAAAACAAACAATGAAAATGCATTTGTTTTCTGATTTTTAAATACAGCAATGACACTGGGTTCTACACACACACACACACACACAAAACAATACATTCAAAAGAAACATTCAAAGTGTCATGACACGATTACGCTTGGTAATTATGTCATGACACATCCATCCATCCAGTTGCTAGCTCATAAAACAGACAGCTAGAAAACTGATCCCTACTGTCAATACTACTCATTGATGTTGCAAGGTTATGTTTAAGGAATGTTTAGATTCCTTTTACAAACTGGTGTATACAGGATGAAAACAGGATTAGAGTGATGGAATTCCTTTATTTTTAAAATTCAGCATTCATAATATTATTAGGCAGTAAATTTATTTTCATATTGATATAGTAATCAATTTTGTGCCATAAAACATAGTAATATATTGTGAGTGGATGGCGGCAACCTCCAGTAAATAAAGTGTTCCTCGGCTTTAATTGAGATCTAGGCAGTGAGCCAGCACCTGCAGGACTTGTGTTTAGATTACATTTCTTTGTACATTCACTCTGGTTTCATGATGAGGTAAGAGAACGAGCTCTGATCACGCCGACAAACGATTCCCGACATGCTCAGTGAACCTAAGGATTCATATTTAAACAGAGAAGATGTCTTAATAGAACAGGGACTGCTCCTGTGATTAAAGAGTCCATAACACAACGTTGCCAAAGACTTCTGAAAGAAAAGCTGGCTCCAGCCCTGAGAAAGAAACTTATTAGTGAGGCAGAGCAGTGTGCACAGTGCATACTGATGCTAACTTTTAGTCTCATCTTCACAGTGAGATCGGCCTGACTTTTAACTGCACTTTTCTGCAAAATCTTTAACTATTCTGTTCCTCTACATTTATAGCAGAGTCAGGGTTAAAGCACTTAGAGAACCAAGAAATATCCAGAAAGGAAATGATCCAATCAATGCAATGTTAAAAATATAATTATGCACATTTTACTTTTATGATTTAGCCATATTATAACTATTCAGAGTTGTAATTGGAGTGATTTGAGTTGTGCTTATTTGAAATTCAGACTCCAGATCCTACACAAATGTTAAAAAATATTGCAAAGCCATTAAAAAAAATAAAAATAAAAATATAAATAAATAGAAAACTTGCTTGCAACAATGGAATGCCAGGTCAGGGATTGTGTTTCTATTATTTAGTTTTAAATAAATGTTGCCATTTACAATGAACAAAACAAAACATCTAAAACAGCTCAGCATAATATGTCCTCTTTAAAGATACAATAGAAAACCTGGTTCAAACTGAGAATATGTTATGAAATACTTGATATGAATTGTATTATTTCTGTTTGTGGCCTTTAAAGATTCTATATTACACAAAATGGATTCTTGTGACCTTTAAGCCATGTCATAATGTTTGTCACACATGTTGGAGTAACCCTTTATTATTAGTCTGTCTACATCTCCAAAGCTCAAATTACACAGCTCCACCTTGTGAAGTCACGAAGTAATAGTTTTCAAGTTAACAGCTCCTTTTGCCTTTTGTTTAGCAGAGATTGGCAATTCCAGGGCTGAAATCATCCAACTGATTCTAGTGAAGCTGTATGGAGTTTAAAAACACAGTGGAGCACGTTCTGTATTACCACATGACATCATAAGGTGGAACAGAGTATTTTCTGTTTGAAAGAAGAACTCATCTTAAATATGCAGGTTTTGTGTGTTAAACATGTGTGAATGAAACAAAACTCTAGGTATGTGTTTGATGAGGGAACAACATTATAACATAGATCGGAAAGTAAAGTAATATAGAACCTTTAAACTTTTTGACAAAGATTAAGAGTTCATATACTCTGTCTTCTGATTTATGAAATGTTTAATCTAAATTTAACTAGCTAACAAAAAAACAAAAAAAATTATAAAAGTTTTAGCCAGACAAAACACAAACTGACCTGGACAGCTAAACACACATCCATGAAATGAAGCTGATCACACAGTACTTAAACTCTCTGTTTAAAGGGAGACACATTGATTTCTTTACAGCGGTGGAGAGTGTGAGCTAAAAGGCTTAGAGAAGGCTGTTTAAAAGACATAGACTGCAATAATCCTTTTCCTCCCCCATCGCCTCCTGCAGACAGAGGCCAGACCCAGAGGGAGTCTCCGGTCTCCAGCCGAGCTCACAGTCAGCACAAGCAAGAAGGCACTTTATCTATGGACACACAGATATGAAACAGGCAGGTATAAAGAGTTAGACTAGTGGTGGGCAATATTCACAAAAATAATATGTAGATGTTGAATTCTTCTAATCATATTCAGAAAATATTTTAACCAGTGTTTCCCCATACATTTTGTTCAGACTATGGAGGTACGAATCCTTTCTATTTTAATCATTTTCTTACCATTTGTGGAGTTTGAATGACATTTATTGCCTTTATTCCAAAATTAAAGGTGTAACTTTTTGGGTGGTGGGTCTGTCAAATGCTTTTCTCCCTGGAAATGTTATTGCTGTGTCTGGAATGCTTCACAGTATGGCATTAAACCATTCAATTTTCATGGAGACCGGACCAGACCAAGTTAAAGGTCAGATCTGTGGAGTGGCCACCCAGCTCACAGTCAGAATGCCTGTACTCCTAGGTATTTTTGATTTATAAAACCAACTGTAATTTAATAAATGTAAGTTAGAGGTGTTTAATGTCATACTGTGGAACATTCCAGCAAAGCAATGATATATCCATAGAAACAAGGAGGTGACAGACCCCCAACCAAAAACATGACCTCATGAACCTTTAAATATAACAGAAAAGGCCTAGGAGAGGATTTGCCTTTGGAACAACACATGTGAAGTAAAAAAAAATAGCAGAAATCATCTCTCTGACATTTTTTTTCCCACTTAGTTAGTATCTATCACAACAACTAAAGATCATAAGAGCATACATACCCTTGCCTTGTCAACTGCTATTAGTAACATAGCTCAAGCACATTCACTTAAAGGGTGCATATTATGCTATTTTCTGATCTGTGTTATAATTTTCCTCATCAGTAACATACCTGGAATTTTGTTTTGTTTCATTCACACATGCTTAAGTCATAAATCCTGCATATTTAAGCTGAGTTCTTCTCTGAAAAAGAAAACATTGTTCTACATTTTGATGTCATGTGGTAATACAGGAAGTGCTCAACCGTGTTTGTAAACTCCATACACCTTGACTAGAATCATCTGGATGATTTCAGACCTGGATTTGCCAATGTTTACTGAACAATAGGTAAAAGATAGCTGTTAACTTGAAAACTACCGCTTCGTGACATCACAAGGTGGAACAGACTAATAATGCAGGTTTACTCAAACATGTGTGAATGAAACAAAACACCACTTTGCGTATGTTTCTGATGAGGCAGCAACATCCTAACATGGCTTAAAGCTCACAAGAGTCTACCAGGACAGTTTGTGTAATATAGGGCCTTTAAGCACTTACTTATTTCACCAAATGCCTGTTTTTAGACACTGGGCCATAAAACACTATTCAGAAAGAACATTGTCAGTTTTAAAATGAAACTATTTGCACATGCATTTTGGTTTGCCATTTAAACACTTTTAGCCTTGTTCAATTGGGTTCATTAGTTCTGCTGATATTGAGCAAGACAAGAAAGTGTAACCAAATCTGTCAAAGTATTACAAAAATACAAGTCTGGCAACAGCAGTAATATAGTTAAGCCTCCAAACTAAATCTGTATTATTCAACACTCATTCTAATCTCACCTCACATCAGTTAAAATAAGATATTGTTTGCTGTAATATCATTAGGTATGTAAAAAAGGGGGAACTACATAGACCATGATCCTTTCGATTCGTTTCAGTGCAGACTACATGAAAAAATAACTGTTATAAGCATTTTTAAATCTTAGTTCTTTGGATTAAGTCTTGTCAAGGCATTTTAAGAGGAAAAAGTAGCGTATTTGTTAGCCTCCACAAAACACAGCAATAAATATCATACCGTGAGATGCGTATCGTGAAAATATCGAACTGAGAGAGAGAAAACTAGACTTCTGCTCAGACAAAACCACAGACAGACCAGAAAAGTTAAACAATTTACATCTAACAGTTTACATTGGTGTGTGCTCTGCTTGGCTCCGTGCTAAATTTAACTGTTTCCTCAATGAAAGTGGCTGTTTTCAATCGTCAAGCTCTCCAAAAGAATGAGACTAAACCAGCTGTGTTAAGACAAAACATTTACTTGAGCTGGATACTTGTCTAAGAAAAGTTTGGTTGTTTCAAGAGAAAATGTCTCACTGTTCTTTTGAAACTTCACAGTGTTTTCAAATTAAATAGCCCCAATTTAACTGCACCGCATACACAATTATGCAATGTGCTGACTACCAAGGAAAGCAGTTAGTGGAGTCTTTTCCTCAACTAAATTTGTAATGCTTTTACAATGTGCAGCCTTAAACGCACTGTACCTGATATTTACTGTCTCAAAAGCACAAAAAACACAACTAGTTCATTGGAAACAATTTGCAGTGGTCCAAAGTTATTGCTCACTTACGTTGTGCGCAATTATTCACAGTGATGAGTTTATAAGCACTTTTCCCAACTTTCAGACTGGTTTTGCAACAACTAACATGCTAACAGGGCACTTCCGGATTCTCAGACAATGAAACTCTTTATAATTAGATGCAGACAGTATTCAGCTGACTTATTTAAACCTCAAGAGCTGTTTATACTATACATCTGTACTGGGACAAAACAATTATTTCTGAAATATATGAAAAAAAACTTGGGTACAGGTTGAAGTTGAAGTACTCAGTAGATCCTTTCTGCTTGACCTTGGCATTACTCTGCCTCGTCAGCCATACTCTGATCTTAAAATCTTTGTTTAAATATTTTATACATTTTGGATACCTAGCAAGTCTTGAGTAAAGTTATTTTTAGCCCAAGCTTAGCCCCCTCTTTCAACACCTCTTTGATCACATCTCATTTTGGAAACATCAGCAGGAAAAGCTAGTCTCATCTGGAGTGAGAAAGATTTTAATACTAAGGAAAGGACTTTATATGCATTACATTATCTCAGTGGTAAAAAAACAAAAAAAAAACAATGAACAGTACTTTCACATTACCATGGGGTCTGATCAAGATTGAGATTCAGGAACGTTAAATTGTTTTCTGTATCTATGCTTTTTTTTTTCAGTATTGATACTTGTTAAAAAGATTATGTCGTTTCAATACTAATTTTATCATCAGTTAATATTAAGGATGCAACAATCCAGGAGATACTGATTCCGATAAAATGTCCTTAATTATTTGTTGATACCCAATATTAAACGGTACCTGTGCAGAAACAGCATTTATATCCTTAAAAGACATATAAAACAAGAAAAAAACTGATCCAAATATGTTATGTAAATACAAATTCAAAGACTTTCTGGGCAACTATGATTATTAAACATCATTTGATATGTCCAAACAGGATATCGACTCAACTGATATCTTGGTATGATTTTTTTTGACAACCCCATTAAACAGTGTGTAAAAATATTGTATTCATTCACTAAAAATGACTTAAAATAAAGAAGAGAGAAAAATAAGTGTTTACAAGTGGAAAAATAGAATGTGGGTTCACTGAGGGAGTTTTGTTAGTTGAGATAAATCTTAACATGAGCTTGTGGAGGTCAGAGGAGAGATGACCTAGTTTTCCTCTGTCTAACAGCATGAAACTCCTCTCTGCTCTCTGCATACAACAAACACAACGATAAGTAATCAGGTGACAACGCTGTGAGTGGAATTATATTATAATGCGCACAGGAGTCAGCCAGGTATGCTCGCTATTTTATGTGAGTACAAAGTGACGAGCTGCTGGGGAGTGTTTTTTTATTTTTTATTTCTAAGTTATTGCGTCAGTTTGAGCAGAGTTGTGTGGTCATGAGGCAGAGCCATGACTCACAACAGATAAATACAAAACAAGATTTTCTTTCATTCACATTCACAATGAATTCCTTGTTCTCAATATTCCCCTGTATTGTGATATGCTTGAAAAGGGCACTTGTACTAATTACATGTAAACTGTACATGACTTGCTACAATACAGTGAGAGATACAAGGACTACATTCATACCATAATCCATATTTATTTTTCTTATACTTCTGCCTTATTTGACACCAGGCTCTTGCTCTTTCTTATTATAATATATTGTGATGTATGAGCTACTGGGTTCAAATAATTTTCCTTGTGGATCAATAAAGTTTCAAACCTACAAATACTTTAAGACAGAAGCTGGTCCACCCAAAGGACAAAACACAGAGTCACAAACAAAACAATCACAGAGGATGTACCAACACAGACGAGGGAGCAATAGTGGATGTCAATCTGCCGTTCATCTCCACCTAAAAGCCTCGGGCCACTCCTTAAAGGACAGTGAGGTTCAGATCTTAGCTGGAAAAAAGAACTGATTTGAGAGGGGAGTTAAAGAAGCTATTTTTGTTCGGAAAGTCAATCCATTTTTGAACAGAAATGGAGGATTCAGACACCATCTATTTCCTATTTACAACTCCATCCTCAAACCTAAATCAAAACAACCAAAGAAAGCAATAGGGAATAGTCAGATCAGGCCCAGAGATGTAAAAGCACCTCTTATGGCCCTGAATGATTATGCTAATATGACCCCACACTCAGTGCAAGTTCAGTAGGCCTAGCTAACTAACAGAAACTGTAAACAAGCAGGTGTGTTAGTTTCAGAGTAGTTTCATTGTAGTTAGCTTCTCCCTGCAGGCAGATATAAGGAAGTATCCACCAGCATTTTTGACCAGAACTGAAGAAGCAGCTTGGATGAACTGCGGAACGTATTCGACCAAATACTTCTGTCCAGTTGGCAAATTGAATTTCTCCTTTTGTCATGGATTTTACCTGGATAACTGAGTGATTCTACACAAAAGTCAATATAAGTTTACGGAATGAAAATATGAATCTGTCTAAAAACAACTGACTTTTACCAAATCAGCAGGTGAAGAACAATACTGTTTATCAGAGGTGAGAAAAAACAAAGTTTGCTCTGAATGAAACTCGGACAAGGCTGGAATGCAAGGCTCATAATTATGTAACAAGGCAACATGAACCACTATTTTTCCCTTTCAAACGATCAACTTCAACAAGTGTTTCAAGTGTTATATTCCTTGGTTCAGAGATTGTTTAAAGGTTAGAATATTATTATGGTATTGTCTTCTTCACAGTAATTGTGTGTCTTGTAATAGCTGCTGTATGTTGTGGCGTTTACCTGCACACACTACAGACGAAGCACTTGGGGTGGTAGGTCCGTCCCAGAGCAGACACGACCTCTCCGGTGATGAAGGAGTCACAGCGGTCACAGCGTGTCCCGTACAGACGCTGGTAGTCCGCCGTGCAGATGTATTCACCTTTCTTCTGGAAGAACCCAGAGCGCGCCAGGTCGCAGTTACACACTGTGGACACACAGGGGAGAGAGGTGAGGCACTGTTTGATATGTGTAACAACATGTAAATACAGACAGGAGGTATAAAGATATGATGAAAAAGGTGTATCTTGTAATCTTAAAATTAAACATTTTGGAAATATGCATAAAAAAAAAAAAAAAAAAAAGGCAATAATATAAGGTTAACAAAAAAAGGTTATTTGCAATATGTGGTTTCATTTGAATGTTGATTCAATTTTTGAGTGATACTTGAACCTTATTAAAGGACATTTCAAGATGTAGTTGAGAGCATTGAAATAATCATTATCCAAATATTCAAAAATTATTAAAATATCCAAAAGTTATTACTAGTGACTGTCCATTTACAGTTGCAAGCCTTTAAAGGGCCCATATTATATTATTTTCTGATCTACGTTATAATTTTCTCACCACAAACATACCTAGAGTTGTGTTTTGTTTCATTCACACATGTTTATCACACAAACCCTGCATATTTAGGCTGAGTTCTCTCAAATAAAAATGATTTGGATGATTTCAGCCCTGGAATTTCCACTCTCTACTGAATATAGGGAAAAACGTAACTGTTTACTTGAACACTACCAGTATCAGACATCACAAGGTGGAACAGAGCATTGTGATTGTTGGAGATGTAGACAGAGTAATAATGCAGGATTACTCAAACATGTGTGAATGAAACAAAACATAACTCCAAGTATGTTTTTGAAAAGATAACAAAATTTTAACATGACTTAAAGCGTATAAAGTGTATTTTTCCGTAATATAGGACCTTTAATATAATGCATTTACTTAGAGGTATTTATTTAGAGGTAGTATGGGAACATCCAAAAAGGTGATGCTGTTCTACCTATAATGGAGAATATAGAAGGCAAAATGAACCTGCCAAACCTACTGGACTTTTTCCTCAACAACAGAGATTCAGCCAAGAAAGACAATGGTCAATTAAATGTAAAGACATAAAAGGAGCAGTGCGTTCTCAGTGTCCATGAAAACCTGTTTTGTTGGGCCATTTTAACTGTATGAGACAATAGCATTTCTTAAACTCTTTTAAATTGTTTCCTATTTGAAAGGTTTGCGGAGAGGGTGTCTTCTTCACATATGGCTGCGAGGCATTCAGCTCCGTACAGTGGTGAGCCAATTTGCACTGATGGGAAAATAATGACATAATCAGTGGAAAACTCATTTTGTGCAAAACAACGTGGAGACAGAGACAAAACAACCAAGCGCAAGTCACCAGGATCAGACCATCCACTACAGACCCATTAAATACCAATTTGTGAGTCTAAATGCATCGTGCCTATTCAGTCTTCAGGCTATGTGAGAGAGTGAGAGGGGGATGTAATATTATAAAGGCGTTTTCACAGCTCAGTGGCCCGGCGTGGCTGCAGGGCTCTAGTTTCCTCCTCCCCGTGTGGTTTACTAACAAGAGCAGTTGACACTTTTTGTCTGGGCTACTGAGCATGTTGTGACCTAACAGACAGGCTGCTAATGAGGGTCAGATGTGGGCAAAGCTAAAACAGATCTGACTTGAGTTTGGTAGGAGCTAAAAATCACAAAAATTGAAATTAAAATAAAACAAATTTTACTGCATAAATAAAGCATTCATTTAAGACCGTGCAAATAATTGAATTTTATCAAGATCGAGATTCAGTCATATGTAATCGTCAGTGATCAGTTTGGGTTTTTTAACTGTAAAAACATGTGGAGCACACAAAACAAGACAAAATCTAATAAAAAATTGTTATCAATCAATATGAAGGCTTGTCATATTAACCAAGCCTGCACTAATTTACATTAATTATTTTCTATATATGTTGTGCATATTGACATTCATAAGTCCTCATGTACTTGTAAAGTTATTATGGAGGGTCCTTACTTGGCTCCATGAAGTTATTATTGCTTTCCCTGGAGTGTTCCATGGTATGACATTAAACATATCCATCTAGCATTTATTCATTACAGGTGTTTCTATTGCTCTAAAATACACAAATTCTACTGTAACCTGCTTGTCTCCATCGTGATAGATAGGTTTAAAGGGACAGTTTGGAGTTTTGGACATAGGACCTCATTTCCTAGTGAACCAGATTGTTCGAGACGTGTGGAGACACTTTTAAAAATATTCCATCCAGTTCTTGTATTCGTAGAGGTCGCTGGTGCTAGGCTAGCACATGTCAATGGCCATAGTTAGCCTGCCACTAAAAATAGTCTTACTCACTCCACAAAGCACCCGAAACAAATCTATTATTATGCTAGATTATCGATGTAAATGTCTGTGTTGATAGACTAATGATTGAAATAAAACTAACCTTGCATCGCATGAATCGTCGCATGTTAAGGGACTATTTTCTCATATATCAGTCTGCTGCCAAACTTTCTATCAGGAAGTACAACTCACTGCTGCTGCTCAGACATAAATTCTTCAAATGCAAGGTTGGTTTTACTTCTAACATTTTTCTATTGACATACACATTTACATCAACAGTCTGGCGTAATAATAAATTTGCTTCGGGTGTTTTCTGGAGTGGGTAAGACTGTTTTTAGTGGCAGGCTAACTATGGCCATTGACATGCACTAGCCTAGCACCAGCGACCTCTGCAAATACAAGGACTGGATGGAATATTTAAAAAAGGCATGTCTCCACACGTCTCCAATACTCTGGCTAACTAGGAAATGAGGCTGTATGTCCAAATCTCCGAACTGTCCCTTTAATCTATACTGTGGAACATTCTAGATCAAGCAATAACATTTCCATGGAGACAAGCAGACAAAAAAAAATTTAAGCAGTCCAATTTTGTACATAAAGATGCTTGCTATAATGAGGCAACCTACTATGTGCTTTAATTCCCAACAATTTCACTACAAAAAGTCTGGCAGATACAGAAATATAATTAGATACCAGTTATTGTGTCAAAACAAGCTGTGTCATCCACAGATAATTTGTGTTTCTGTAATGAATTCATGAAGAATCTGCACTGGGTTAATTAACTATGGTTTTGTAAGAAATGCACAAAAACAGCTGTCCCACATTTGTTATATTTTGTCTGAAGCCAATTCCCAGACGGCAGAGGGAATAACACATAGAAACAGGATCTCCTCCAAACTCATAGTGCCTTCTACAGTATCAGGTGAAAGTGACGATGGTGAACAAAAGTGAACGGCGCCAGTGTGTAGATGAGAATAGATAGACTTACAGTTACAGACAGCTTTCTATTTGTCGTAATATAATGCTCTAACTGGCCAAACTGCATACTAGGGCTACAGCTGGGGGCGATGTGTGGCTTGCATATCAACTACAGCTAGGTGGGGCAAAACTAAAGTAATCCCATAAAAACTGCATGTGAACCTCAAATAAACACAATTAGCCAATTTCACAGGCTGGAAATATTTATAGTGTACTGCAAAAAAGATCGCTCCAAGTTCTGAAATGCATGGGATTCTTTGGGTTTAGCAGTTTGTAGAGATCAACTAATAAAAAAATATGGCTGGAGTTGTGTTTTGTTTCATTCACACATGTTTGAGTAATCCTGTATTACTAGTGTGTCTACATCTCCAAAGCTCAAAATGCTCTGGTCTACCTTGTGATGTCATGAAGTGGTAGTTTTCTTTCTTTCTTTCTACCTTTTGTTCAGTAGAGATAGGTGTTACAGCCCTGGCTCAAAAGAACAACTGAGGGAGGACACGACAACGGCGACGTTTTTAACCCACGTACGGGCAGACCCTTCCCTCTTCTCCTCCTGCTTCACCCCCCATCCTCCGGGCCTGCCACGCTGCTGCCCCGACACACCGCCGGGGCCATGCACTATTCATGTTTTTTATAATAAATGCCCGTTCACTGGTTAAAATGTCGCTCTTGTTCCCCCTCATTTGTTGCGGTCTTTTGAGCCGGGGCCGTAATAGGTAATTCCAGGGCTGAAATTATCCAGATGATTCTACAGAAGTTGTATGTTGTATTTAAAAAATATAGTGGAGCACTTCCTGTTTTATCACATGACATCACAAGGAGGAACAGGGTGTTTTCTGTTTGAAACTCAGGTTAAACTCAGCCTAAATATGCAGGATTTGTGCATTTAACATGTGTGGATGAAAAAAAACACAACTCCAGGTATATTTTTGATGATTAAACAATATTATAACATAGATTTTAAAAAAATAATAGCATAATATGGACCCTTTAATGCAAAAACTTCTTGAATTTACAGAAACTTTATGCATATTCTTAGGCAGCTGGTTGACCCAAACAAACCCAAACAAAATATCGGCCTGTGCTGTCTCTAGTTCTTGTTTTAATCTTCCTCAAATCTGGATGAATGTTAAATATTTATTGTATCTTGATTTTAAACCATAAATTGGATTCTTATCACTAAATTGGCCTCCTTAGAAACACAGAAGCCTGGTGGTAGCACTGCTCTCTCTCACACCACAAGCCTGCACATAAACCCTTCAAAGGAGCTCATTTAATCTCCAGCTGTTTATGAGTGCAGCATATTGACTTAACAGTGTAATAAAAGATCAATGGGCCCTCACTTAGAAACAAAACAGTCTCTACTCCCACGTGAGGAGGAGAGGGGGTATAAATCCAAATGTGAAGGGACGTGGCCATGTGCAAACATAGGGGGTTAGGATGGAGCAGCATGTATGGCGAGATATGAAGATAAAGCAGATTTGTTAGAGAGGCGGGGCATTGGCATTGGGGCAAAAAGGGCACACAAAATGGAAGGCAGAGATTCAGTGAGAAGGACATGATGGATAGGTTTGAATAAATAATTTAAATGTGGGTGAAAAATAGCTTATGTCTGTGAATGTGCCATGTACCACTTTTCCACAATGGTCAGGGTCTGCTTTCCGAGTCTCACCCAAAATAACAGGCTATCCTACGCCCGCATGGAAAAAAGGAGCCAGCATTTCTACCGTTTCCACATTTAATAAGCATTTGACCATGGAAAAATGTACCGCTATGACAATTTAAATATGGATTCATTCTCACTGTTGACT